TGTAAACAGCCGCCGTTGTCAGTGCTGAAGCAAATTTCCGAGCAGGGATCGCGGCAGGCGCTTTAGCTCATGTTAGAACCAGTCGGTGGAAAAGGCTGGCAAGATGTCGATGCTCAAGAGAAGAGCACTTGGCGGCTCGACTGACAGGGATTGATATTAAGCAGGGGTTCTAGAGCCAGAGCCAGAGCCAGAGCCAGCTGGCAGACCACACTTTTTTTTGCTCACAACAGCGGCGGTGCGGGATGATTAATCGGTATAGACATGTCATCATCAAAGGGCCAGGCTCACGTTCTTGTCAATGAGAGAGGATGACGTTCATGGCGCTCCTGCAAGCAGGAACCGTTAAGAGATGCATGTCTGGCTGCAGTATGATCTGATCAAGCTTCAGAGAAGAGAGGTGTCAGTACGTAGGGGTGTGTGTGTGTGTGTGTGTGTGTACAATGTATGCGTGTTTATCCTGCACCAAACCTTTCGTGGAGCCCTGGCAAGCGCGAGAATGTCAGTCCTGATAGAAATGGAGAGAGAATGATCGGTCCCAGGCGGAGAAGATTGGGGGTCACCCCTCTGCTCACCTTCACCAGCCGGCCTAGCGTGTAATCGAGGGACAGGTTCTAGGGTTTTGATGAAGTGGCGGTGGGCTCACTCTCACTCGAGAAGCAGCAACAGCAGCGTGTAGAGAGCCCAGACAGTCCAGACCCTGGCCCTGTCACCCAGCAATTGGCTTTGATTTGGGCACAAATGATCAAACCGCCAGTGTTCAAAGTCCGCTCCATGCTGCTCCGGTGCCATACGGAGACGATGTCTCCTCATCGCCGCCAACCTAAATGTCGCCGTCTGCAGACCAGTATGAAGCGTGTCTCGGACATGGTGTTGGCGGTCGTAACAACCCGCGGCCAATCAGATTGTTCGGGCTTGATAGACTTAAGCCGGCATCAGAGGTTGCTGGAGGAGTGACGGTCGGGTAGAAGGTGACCATGTGTGAGGAGCGGTCCTCTGCACGAACGACCGCGCCCACTGCACTACCTAGGTGCTAGGTAGAGAGGCAGACCAATTGTTGACCAGAAAGATACGGGGACAAGCCACACGTCCCGAGACCGAAGATTGGGGGTGGGGGAACACATTGAGCGAAAAGGAAGCAGATGACGGCAGCGAGCCGAGCTTGCAGGATTCTTCTTTCGACTGGTTGGCTGCCTTTCGCCGGAGCAGTTCGCGCCTTGCGGTGAACGACCGGTTTAACGGTTGACGGGAGGCGCACACTTGGAGACGGCAAAGTCGACTTTAACTCGTCGGGGGGATGAGCCGGTCACCGCGCTAGCGGCTTGCTCGAGGGCTTTTTGCATCGAGTGAGGCTTAGACACCCCCCTGACTGTGAAATGGCGTTTGTAGAACTTCTTTGCATGCTTCCTCGGTCCTTCTAGCGCTCCGAACCGCATCCCTCACGCTTGGCGACAAGCGTATCGCTGCCCTTGATTAGGGTTGGCGCGATTCGTACCTGCGACTGCCACAGGCAGCTTCTCTGAGTGAAGCAGGAGGGGAAGCTGGCGGACGCTTCTCTCGACGACGACGTCGCCATTTTGTGTCACATCAAAAAGAAGCCAAACCATGTGCGATGGTCCTCTAGATTCGATAGCAGAGATACGGAAGATCAAGAGGTCCAAGTTCGAACTGCCCTTCTGGGCATCGTCCGCGCCTTTGCTGCACCGTCTCGTCATCGGCGTGGGTTGGAACCATCCAATGCCATGTCTCACGATGACTATCAATTGCACGTCAACCAGATTCCTGTGCGCTGTTCCCCCGACATTCCGTCGCACAGCCCCAGCCTTGCGGTAGTTGAGGAAGCGGGAGTCAGGACTGCAATGCAAAACCATGGGGGAACTCTTCTCGTTGCCCTATCTAAGAAGCAGACAAGGGGTTTGGGACACAAGGCCTAGAGTGCTGATCAATGTCAGTGTTTAGGGGTCGCAGGTACGCAGGAGGTGTCGGTGACGGTCGAACCCGAACTGGGCTCTGAGGACAGCCTCGGAGTGGAGTGCGGATTGGACACTATTAAAATAGCAGAAATGGAGAAGGGAACGGCCGAGACTCGCAAAAGGTGGAAAGCATGTGATGAATGGAGACGGCCGACGTTTAGCAAAGAGCTCCGGCGAGACCCACGATGGCGATCCCGTCGCTCTGCCGCGCTTATGGTTGGCTGGCGGGTCCCTGATGTTGGTTTCTCAATCTCTCAGGGCTGCGTTGATAGGTATTGATCTTTCAAGGATTGTTGATGAGGTTGGATTCCGACAGAGCGCGAATCGGCGCACCTGGCTTTCGCAGGCGAAGCGAGCTCATGCCATGGGGGCGTGCAGTGTCAGTGCGGACGGTTGTCATCTGGGCCAACGCAACGTCAGCCAGCATTAGCAGTTGGGTCCTTGGTTTCCCGAGGTGAAGGCTAAGCTGGGGGGTTAGGATGGACAAACGTCCTTGGGACTGTGACAGCGGCGCTATTCCTGCAAGATTTGAGACACGAGGAACCGGCGAGCAGGTACCTATACTTGGACCCTAGGCGCCTTTGGCATGTTTTGGTGAGGGAATCAGGCAGACAAAAGCCAAGGTCATCAGGTCCGGAAGAAGGGGAACTGTCGAGCATCGGACTTATCGATACATCCGCATCGTGTCGGGCTGGCAGGGCCTGCTGAAAGGGCAACAATATTAGGACGGACTATTGCTACTGGTTCCAGCCACACTACCGCGAATGTGTGTTTGCAGTGGTGGTGTCTTCTGATAGGTCGAGTAAGTTGAGCGTGGAAAATGTCATCAGCGGCGCAAGCGAGGTTGACGAAGGGCCCAAGGGGAGAGACATGGGACGGCGGCGATGGTTGAGGCCAAAGCAGCTAGAGTGGACTTCTGCGTTGCGACGGTCTCAACGACAAGTCTCGGCAGTCGGGATGGCGGTTCAGAGACGTGCAGTAAGCCATTTCTAAGTGTGACGAAAGGTATGGGTGGTGCTTGACCAAGGGCGCTAATCGACGTTGAGTGCGAGGTGAGGTGAAGCGTGAGAGAGGAGGCTCACATCCCGGTGACGAGATGAGGTTCGAGATGGAGAATGTGAGGTTCTTTGCAAAGCTTCCAGAACGCTCGACGCCGGCTGCCACCCTCCCCACCAAGGTACATCGTACCCGTTCCTTCCGCCTTTCTTCCCTAAGGGATTGCCTAGAGTTACCGAAGGAAGCCGTCGGCCACCGAAGGATCAGAAAGGCAGAAGGCAGGTACTGACGATAAGGATGGAAAGGTGTGGGTGAGGGTGAGAGAGTGTGTGCCTGGAGGACGCCATTCCTTCCTCTGCATGCCTCCTCCCCCCCTCCTTTCCCCTTACCCCTTCCCCCTTCCCCCTTCCCCCTTTCACCCTAGGTTCGAACAAGCACTTGCTTGCGCCTGACCTGCAACTGCAAGTCACCTCTGTTGAAAGTAGTTGGTTTCTGAACAGGCTGCCCGACGGCGGCAGAAGGCGCGTCGAAGTCTGCATGGAAGGTCTGGCAAAAGCGCCGCCCGTTCTGTTGCACGGCGCAGAGGATGCGATGCCCTGCAACTATTCTGCAGTGGCACACTCTGGTGCTCCTGAGCACAGGCGCCACGGCGCAGCTACCTTAGTCCAGAAGGCAGCATGCTCAGCAAGCAAGCCAAGGCTTCGATGGCCCATTGCACCCTGTGCTTCTGTAGCATTCTAGAGAAAAGGCCTCGGCCGGAAGGGCTGGGGTGGAATTGAGGGTGATCCGGTGTGATGAGATGCTTCTTCCGAGGTGTTAGGCTAGGGAAAAGTGTGCTTGTTGTGTAAGGTATCAAGGGGAGAATGTAAATATCCTCGGACATTATTAGTTAGAGTCGGAGTCGGGTGTTGAGTGTTGCACGTCGAATGGCAATCACCAGCGGACTAGACGCAAGCGCCTTCCATTAGCTAAACGTTCTTTCCTCGGGTGTCGCTCCTTCGAGTACCGGCGCAAATTCTCCAGTGCGGGCGGGAACAGAACTGGGCTCCTGCATCCCGCCCTCCCTCCCTCCTTCCTCGCCCCCCCCCTTCCACATCTCGCAGACCTCGATCCAACCCAACCCAACTCACCTCCCTTACCTAACCATGCGTCTAGCACGCATCCGTCCAATCAAGCATGGGTTTGCCGTCTTTACCTAGCCTACCACTGTCACCTATGTGCGTATGTAGGTACTCGGTATCCTTAACCGTACAACGACGACAAGCCTTTCTTCACTGAGCCAGGCATATCCTATCCTTCGGACGAGGCTTGGGTCATCCAACGGCTACCGCGTTTAAGAGCCGGAGCCAACCACGACCGACTCCGCATATGGGTACGTTGCTCTTCAGATGTCACAAACTACACCCCTTCGTCACCTGTTGCCATGCCCATGATCCATCGACCAGCAGCGCCCTCCGGTGTTGGCTGAGCTACGGGTACGAAGTACGGGAAGCTCCATATACTCCGTACCCGCCTCTACCTTGGCCCGGAGTGAGCGCATCGGCAGACAGGGTTGCTGGGCTAAAGATAACGAATTCTCTTCGCTCGAAACAACCGGCGATGATATTGGATATGGATTCAAAGTACACAAGACCCGTATGCCACGGATATGAGACACATGCGAATTGCATCGCCCACTCCACCAAACAAGACCCATCAACCACCACCTTGTCCAGGATGCCAAATGCGGTCACTGACTTGTGTCTGCCGCGGCACCTACCTGTCGCACTGGCACTCTATGGGCACGGGCGTCTTGCATCTGCTTGGAAATCAGGAACATATGCTGGAACGGGAACAGGAACAGGAAATCTCCATCAAAAGCTGGCCATGGATCATGGACCAGAATTGCTCCGTCGTGGGGCGCGGGGGTTCACCCGTCGTTCATGTCCGACGCTCTCTGACATTTCCCACGCCCTCACGCCGTGTGGTCGTCGACAACAAGTCACCAAGTGGTCAGTGTTGACCTGGTGGATTGACTGGGCTCCAACACGACCGATGAACCACCCCGTCATCATCCTGGTCAGCTCGGTTCAAGGGAATGCCTACCGAGGAACACGGAACACGGGTGAGATCGAGTTACAAAGCACTTTGCCGTTAGATACCTGCCACTTGACACGGGACTCCTCGTCAAAACTACGTACCGACAGCGGCGGCCGACACCTACTCACTTGTAGCTTTCGCCTTGGACTCAGGCGCCGCCGCGCGCCGCACGCCGCACGCCTCACCCGCTCACTCCATCTCACTACAGATATCTCTCACTCACTTCAGGTGTATGCTCTGTCCGTACTATATTACAGAGACTGACAGAGAGGAGACTGACGACCAAAACGAGACCAAGTCCGACAATAACTGCAGTGACAAGCATCACTGCGTCATCTCCGTGGCTGTTTCTGTCACATGTACTCCGCTCTTCTGCTCACTTTGGGCTTGTAGGTCTCGCTGTTCGTGGGCCTCAATGAACCTTTGCACGTCCTCTCTTGTCGCCGCAATCTTGCGACAGTCATGTTAGACAAAGTCTCGACCCAATGCGCCTATCGGCTGTTGACTGGGACCATACAGTCACCTAAGCTAAGCTACTACACTACATAGATGGACCGTACGGGATTGTCCAGTTACCAAGACGCGGCTTCCATTGGCAGATGCTGCTCGGCGGTGTCATTGGCTGGGTTGATCGAGGCTGCAGCCGCCAGTTCGTCCAAACATTGAACTTTGAACTACTCCTTTTCTTGGTCTTTTGATTGCAAAGAGCTGTCAGACCAAGGCTACTCAGACCACGAAGATGGTGTAAAACGAAGAGGGCCTTGCTTGGTTTCACTTCACATTACGGATACCGACCTCGTCCCTCGTCCGCTCATCCAAGCTTCAAGTACCGTTCCAGCCTCACCCCCGTCCGACGACAATTGTCCGCGTCGTTTTTTAGCTCGCGGCGCCTTGTTTCTTGCCCGCAGCAGGCCGAAAGTTAATTGCACACAGGCTCGTCGTTCTTCACAGACGCCTCGCAGTCTGTATTGTGCAGAGATTCCAGATGCAGATGAAGCACGCAAGCTGGCTGGCTGGCTAGCTGGAGGATCCCCCGGGCTGCCAATCACCCTGGCCACGGCCGCCATCTCCGCCCTCGCCGTTGTCGTTGTCCTTGCATGGACCGACCCTGTCCTGCTCTGCCCTGCCCTGTATGTAGCGCGGCAGATGCAGCAGCATTGCATCGCATCGAGTTGCTAGCAGGGGCCTTCATTCAGGGAGCAGCAGGGTGGGTTTGTGGTGGGTTTGCAAAAGGACCTGAGCTAGGGTGAGGCTAGGCGCGAAGAGGAGCAGCAGCCAGCCAGCGAGCCACTCTCTACTCTCGAGTGCAGACGTTCATTTTGAAGACTGACGGACGGACTGACTGTGCAGTCGTCACTGGCAGGCTGCAGAACGAAGCCTGTCTCATCTCTCTGTCTCCCCTTCTCTTGACCGGGTCTTTGACAGACGAATGGTATGATCCAAAGCGCGGGCCAATCTGAGACTTGCCAACGTCGGCAGAATCCTAGCAAATGGCAGTTACCAGAGACGCTCCCGCAATGATGCTATTTCCGATGGATCTACCGTCAATGTCTCGTCTTGCCCGACCTCCTCGTCTGTCAGATACGCCGGACAAGGCCAGGCGAAGGCGGGAAGCAAGCAGGGGGTTCGCGGGCTGGGAATGGAAACTGTGATGCTCAGGGACCGAAAAATACGAGTTGTTGGGGCCGAATACCTCACGGCAGGGATCTCAAGCGCCGCCGAATGAGAACATGTCGTCGACTCGTCCCTTGTTTGCCTTAACTGGTGCGTGGATTGATCACTATCCGTCTCGTCTCCTTACCTCGAGTCCCCCCCCCCCGCAATCCTCTATCACGTCTTATCTTGCTGCCCTCCCGTGCTACAGGTTCTTTTGCGGCGACCAGGTTGGATCTCCGTTCATCGTATGTCACCAGTCATGGATTGAACCTCTATTTTTCTACATCTCCTACTTCCCGGCTGTCCTATCAAGAGCGGAGAGCAGAGCGGATACCGAACATATTGATTGCATACTGTCTTTGTCCGGCCGAATATTGTGCGAAGATGGCTCATAACCATCGCACGAGACGTGTCCGAGACTACCCCTGGCTATGCTGTTCTCTCCAACTTTCTAACCTCTAACCTATGATATAGTCTTGGAGAGAGGCTTTCGTTCAGGCTCTTACTCCGCATTCAACCCTCTCCTCTTCCCCAACATTGACAACTAACAAGATAGAACGCCCACGAAAGCCACCCGCACCGCACCGCACCGCACACACTTGGAAAATTTGGGGGGGGGGGGGTTATGGATGAGGCATGCAACCCCTCCAAAAAAAAAAAAAAATGGACGACAAGGGGCCCTTGTCGCATCGTCCGGCCACATCTTGACCAGAACAACCTAAAATCGCGGGCAAGCCAGCGAGAGGCAAGGTACCTACGACAGTACTAGTAGCCACGGTCGAGAGCCCTGGGCTCTTGTGCCTGCAATGAAATGGGGACTCCCTCTTTGCCTACACTAGGGATCCCCTGCTCTTCAGACATCTGGCAACAGACCCGCTGATCTGCTCATCTTCGTCCTCCCACTCTCGACTCCCACTTGCCCGCCGCTCGTCTCTAGCCTTGCCTCCCACTCTTCGTTGTGTCTCTCGAGCTTTTACCTCCCGCATCCACTAAGATCGAGAGAACGGCCAGGAACCCAGAGACGAGGCACACTCCCCGAACGCTGCTCTCTTCTCACACACCCATACAACCCGGTTCGCCTTCACGTAGGTTTCTCTCTATCGGTCGACATCGCCCGCCCCCGGTCTCTCTCACTACGTCTCTCTCCTTACTGTGCTGTGCTGGTGCTGTGCTCCTCCAAGCATCCTCTTGTACTCATTCTCTCCCCCCCACCCCCGTCGGTGCTCTCTTTCAAGTTGCCTCCTACCCCCCGTCAACGCACATGATGTACTTCCACACTGCCTGCGCAATACCCGCATCCCTCCCCCGGACGAGTTGCTTGCTGAGGCCCAGGATCCTCGCTCGCCGCTTGTATATCTCTAGCCAATCTATCATCCATGTAGCCAATGGTTGTCAACGAGAACGCTCACCACACCTCGATACATTTATACACTCCTCGTCCCCGAGGCTTGCCACACTTGGATGAATTACTGTGCCTCTTGACTTATCGTCTCGCTTTCATCTTTTGCTCTCTTGCCTCCAGCGGTATACCATTTTACTCCCCAGATTACCATCAATTCTTCCATACCGTCGTTGCCGGACTGCCTTACTTTTCGACGCCGATATCATACCACCTACATCCTGAGCAACAGTCGGTCTCGCGTGTGTGCCATTAAACACACTTGACAGTCTCAAACCACCCCTCAACCTGAAAACAAGACAAGATGACCGCTCCCATAACTCAACAACAATCCGCGCAAGCCAAAGATGCAGCCGCTGCAGCCTCGGTTCGCAAAAGGAGAAGACGCGCTCCCGCCGGTGGCGCCGCCGACGACTGCTTCACCTGCTCCAAGAGGAACGTAAAGTGTGACCGCAGGCGGCCCTACTGCTCACAATGCCTCGAGATCGGCAACGAGTGCTCAGGCTACAAGACTCAACTGACCTGGGGCGTTGGCGTTGCTAGCAGAGGCAAGTTGCGCGGTCTGTCTCTTCCCATTGCAAAAGCACCTCCCGTTGCCGGAGTTGCAAAGAAGTCACCCTCGCGTCCCCGCGCAAACTCGACGGCCACCAGCGCAGGCTGGGCTGATGCCGACGACATGTCTCGGAGGAGTCCCCGTAACGATGCCGGCTTCTCGCCAGAGCACGTCGTTTCGACACCCACAACACCCTACCCTCACAGCTACGACATGCTCTCCATGTCACATCCCGAGCACACACCATCGATGACGGCGGGACATTGGGGCAGCCTCCCGTATTCAAATAGCATGCCGACGGATGGTCCCAATTACAGGAAGTTGGGTGCTCATCTGGGACCTCTTCCCATCTCGAACGCGCTATCTTCCTCCCTCGAGTCTGTCAGCGATGGCGATTATATGTCACCCATCAACCACTCTTACTCGAGAGACGACATTCCCTTCCTCCACAGTCCCAACGTTATGTACGACGGCTACAGCACCCACGGCTCGCCGGTCCCTCAAAGTCCCATCTCAGCCATTCTCATTGACCAGAGAGCCCCGACATCGTGCCCAAGCCTCGTGTACGCCCCATCCGAACACAGCTCCAGTCTCACATCGCACATGGACAACTTAGAAAGCCAGTTGAGTCAGAAACTGATGCGGGAGTGTGACACTCTGAGTGAGACGCCCTGCCCGGCTGCTCTGCTTTTAGGATCAGACTCGCTGACGTGACGGCTTTAGGCGTACCCGAGATGGATGCATATAGCACGAGTTGCAATTCCAACGGCCATGTTTGGACCTCTCCCCCCCCGGAGGAGATGTCACCGCACCATTCAGATCACCACGCTTCGGCTCAGTGGCCCACCATGTTTGAGCCGCAGGCCGTCCACGTCAACTCCGACCTTATTGCAAAGATGCCCTTCTTCATGGACTACTACAAGAACATCATGTGCCCGTCCATGGTCTTCATGGACGGGCCCGGCAACCCGTACAGAGAACATATTCTCCACCTGGCTTCAAGCAGTCAGAGCCTGCAGCACGCCATTTGCGCCTTGTCCGCCTGCAACCTGCGGATGAAGCGAAGACTTAGCCTGGGCCAGGACACGCGTGAACTCTCCGAGAAGCTCATGGCCGAGAAGTCGACCGCCGAGTCGATGGCGGACGCCCAACCCGAGGACCAGTCCCTCTCCGAGGAGTACCAGCACCGGAACCTTGCCGTCCATCTCCTCAACCAGCAGCTCAACGACCCGGTCAAGTCCAGCCATGACTCAGTTCTCGCAACGATCCTTCTGCTCTGCCACTACCGCATGGTGGAGTCAGGCATCGCCAAGTTCCACACCCAGTTCGCCGGTGTCAAGAAGATCCTTTCCATGCGACGATCGCAGAACCTGGCCCCTTCCCGCGACTCTGCGTGGATGGAGGCCATCTTTACCCACTTTGATGCCATCTCGGCCAGCATCAACGACCGTGAGGCTCAGCTCAACTCTACATTCTACGGCGTGATGCCCGACGCTCAGCTCCTTCCTCCGGGTGCCGAGAACCTTCTCGGCTGCGACCGGGAGCTCTTCAAGACCATTAGCAAGCTCGGCAGGCTCAACCTACTCTCACAGCACCGCTCGGTCCAGAACCTCGTCACCGGCCCCATGGCCCGCAACATCCCCTCACGCTCGGAGTCGCCCCTAAGCTCGCCCCTGGGTCACTCTTACAAGAGCAACGTCAACGGCCTACACCACCAGCAACTCGGTGACATTTACAGCTTGCCCGGTCACCGTTTCGACGGCAACGGGTTCGGCTCGACCCTGGACGACGACGAGTTTGTCTCGTCGACCCTCTGCTCTTCGGCAACGTACGACGATAACCGCAACAACTTTTGGAGAGAGTGGAAGGATGCTCGCCTCGCCCTTCAAAGCTGGGAGTTCGACTCGGCCCGAGTCCACGCGTCCCTCCCCTCCCCCGCGACCCCTGCTCAGGTCAGGGACCTGGGCTCCCTGTCCGAGGCGTTCCGCTACGCCGCCCTGCTGTACACGGAGCGCCTGGCCTCGCCCAACGTCCCCTCGACGCACAGCAACTTCCAGAACCTTGTCTCCCAGGTCGTCTACTACGCCACGAGCCTTGAGGCCGGCAGCCAGGCGGAGAAGTTCCTCCTGTGGCCGCTCTTCGTTGCGGGCAGCGAATGCGTCAACAAGCTCCAGCAGAACATTGTGCGGAGCAAGTGCCGCGACATTATGGCGCGCTCGGGTTACATGAACAACCTGGCCGCTCTCGACGTGCTGGAGAGGCTCTGGGCGGGCGAGTGGAAGGATAGCGAGCCTCGGAGCCCGGCAGCTGTCAAGCTTGAGGCGATGCGCCGGGGCCCGTTCAACTGGACCAGGTGCATCGGAGGTCCCGGTGTCGAAGTGGAGTGGATCATGTTTTAAGGGTGTGGCTTTTTCTTTCTTTGCTGCAGCTCGCTTCGCCTTGCGGAGCTTGGATGGATCACCAGGAGTTTTGCAGGGGAAGTGGAAAACGGAACACCAAAAAAAGAAGACTCGGGAAGCACGACCACGAGTCAAGCGCAAAAAGGAGAGAGAGAGAGAGAGAGAGTTTTCTTTTCATTACTCCGGCTGGCAAGCTGGACTTGGGATCACGACTGATGAGAAGGGGGGCGGTGGTCTATCCGATCTGTAAACCTGTACAATAGCAAACTACGACGACACTTTGTGGGCATACATACTGATAATGCGGCGTTAATTATGGGAAATAGGAGGAAGCTGGGCAGGGAAACATGGTCATCTCTTGGACATGTAGGCCTCAAGATTAGCTGATTGCATGGACGGAGGATAACTTGGAAGACTGATCGAGATAGCTTCCGCAATACAAACACCACGAGAAGGCAAACATTTTCAACGCACACAACTTGATGTTGCTTATATCCTCAACTACTTTCAAATAAGGCTTCTTCCTTCATCATTGTCTCTTTGTTGACAAGACTTTCATGTTCTTACCACGCTCGAGTTGTCAGAGGTCCGAAATCCAGGCTCGACTTTGCCACGACAGCACGCTCAAAGGACGAGACCGATGGCGTTCGGTGATGGCGTGCTCCATCACGATGGTACCTGCGTTGCGATACCGAAACAACCGCCAGGCGGCGCGGCGGATCCCTCCTAACTCCAGGGACCAGCTGTTCTTGTGTGGCCGGAATATTCCCAGTATGCGTTTTCCATGTCGTCTTTCCAGCGTTTCATTGCGTTGAGCTGTATAAACAGCAGGCCAAGCTGAGCGACGAAGGGAAGGGAAGGGGGGTGTGAGATGAAAATAGGGGGAGGGGGGTGGACAGGTGAGTAGGGCGAGAGGGGGTGAACCGACGATGAGGGGTGAGGATAATAATGATGTTCCTAGGTATATCCGAATGGTGAACTGCTTCTTTGCCTCCCGCTCGCCCCGGCCCAAGACTTCCAAGCCCAGATCCACCACTTGTCGAAGGACCTGTCGTCGTCCAGTCGCAATCGCTCCAAGCGCCGTAAGGAGCGGGAGGCGCATGTGCGCGATCCCATCACCCATGTGCCTGAGGACTAGAACAGGGGGGGACGCAGTTTACTTTATCCGTGCTCTTTTTCTTTTCTCCATCACTTAATTAAGGGAAAGTGTCGATGGGCTGCTTAATTATACCGGTCTGTGCAAGATCGGGATCTGAACACTAGACGATGATGACCTTGCGGCATTAGTTCGGACCGGAGGACGGCGATGGCGATATGTGGAGAGATACTGAGAGAGAGAGAGAGAGCGAGAGAAATAGAGAATGTAAAGCGCACAGTCAGCTCTGCTGTCGCTGAATCGTCCGGCCCCGTAATCCCATCCTGTACTACGGCTATAGCATCGCGATCCTTGGCAGCTCGGTTACTCCAGACCGAGCCAAGCAAAATCGACGGCTGGAGTGCAGTTCGGTTTGTGATATTCGATATGCTTGTCAGCCAGCGGATGAAGCCTTGCTGAAGGGGTCCAAGGGGGAGAGGAGAGGAGGTCACTGTTGCAGGACGAAGTGCCCACACCACACACCACGCCAAACACCTGCAAACTGCTCCTCGCTTGCTGCGGAGGGCGGGTAGTTGAAGGACAATGACGGAGGAGGAGGAAGGATAGAGACGTTGGTGCAGTAGTTGGCTCTGTAGCGCAGCAGACTGCCCCGAGAGACAGACAGAGGGGGTGGGGGGGACGGACGGATCAAGGGCATCGGGGTAAAAGCAGACTGGCTGGAGAAGTGAATGACGGCCAGGGTATGAAGTGACAAGGATCAAGGGTTCATCTCTGGGCCTGGGGAAGAGGCGTTGACGATGAATCCACCCGAGCCAAAAAAGTTCCTAGGTGTGGGGGTGATAAGGGATGTTCGGGCCAAGAAATTCCGGCCGGGCCCCTGACTGGCTGGATTTCACGACAGACGACGCGGGACTGGATGGGCATTTGTGGTCTCTCCGATCTGGCGACGCTTGGTTCTCTGGCAGGGCTCAGGGGGTGGTGAATCCGTGGACAGGGGGCCAAGAGGGGCCTGGCTAGATCATGGATCAGAAGAGAGGAGGACATCCACAAGGCCCGACAGGGAGTTGGGGAGATGGCAAAGGGTGGAGAGAGAGACCGAAAAGAGAGAGAAAGAGGGACTGCCCGCCCGGTCAATGGTCAGTCGTGGATATTTGACCAGGGGAAGCTGACCGACACACGGGCAAGATTCAAGAGCGACGACAACCCCAGCCGAGCCAGACACTGGCAGGAAGAGGTGACAGGGGAACTCGAGGCGGTGGCGATGGGGACCCCATCTGCACTGCTCCCTCCTCGGTACTCGCTGTACAGAACTCGAGGCAGAGAGTCAGAGAGTTCGGACCCGACTGCACCTGGTCCTGTGCGAGATGGAGAACGTCGCAGAGTCAAAAGACACCTTAATCCATATTGACTACTCTGCCTGACCTAGCATCAAGCACAAACTAACAGGCTTAATCTGGTACATGCGCAACGCTACCACTACCGGCCTTGTCTGTCTGTTCCGCCCGCTCTATGTGCACTATGAAGTACTGCTCATCTGCAGACTGACTGGGGGGGGATTGAGAAGGCCTGCGATATGCAGAGACCTTTTGCGAGAACCAAAGTAAGAGTGAAGCTACTGCGTACCCGAACAGATTGGCGGCCGCTGGCAACGGCGGCGAGCGAGAAACAAGAAAAGACACTGAAAGATAGCACGAGCCATCTCTGGGAAAACCAAAGGAGATAGATAGCGATTAAAAAGCCGAGTTTCTTGTTGACTTTTGTGAATTAGTCGAGTGCCCCCGGTTCACGACGGTGACTTGGTGAAGAAGTGAGATGACGGACGCGTGGGGGGTCTCACCCTCACGACTCCCCCCCCCCCCCCCCCCCCCCCCCCCCCCCCCCCCCCCCACCCCCCCCCCCCCCCCCCTCCCCCCCCACCCCCCCCCCACCACTCCCCCACCCCCCCCCCCCCCCCCCCCCCCCCCCCCCCCCCCCCCCCCCCTTCGACCTGACCTCACCCGTGACCCAACTACAACCCAATCGTGATGAACAACAATATCGAGGCTTCACCAGGTCTATGATCTCATCGAATCAGCTCAGGATGCACTTTGGTCCCTTGGCCGTTGATGACTGGCAGCATTCTAAGGCAGCAAAAGTCACGCGACGTGGAGGCGGCCCTGACGCTGTCAGTTTCACATACTGACTACTTTTCCCTCCTTCATCGACTACCGCAATGACGCCATGCACGACTACCAGCGATCCGACACGGAAGACTTTCACTACCCGGCGACGCGTGTGGTTCATCATCCTCGTCCACGTATCATCGCCCGCCTCGTGCCGTAATCCACAATGTGAGGCGGTCCTTCAACCGCGGTTAGCAAAGCACGCAGAAGCACAGGATCCACCATCGTGACTTTGTAAGTTGTAGTAGGTATCCGTACGGATAGTGATACAGAGTAATTAGTGCGGCTAAGGGGCGGGCGGCAGATGAAAAGAGAAGGGTGTGTATATGACGAGATAGCAAAGGCAAAAAGGCGAAGTCGAGATCGGGCAAGGCGAAGTGTTCACCTGCACCACTTCGTGCCAAGGGAACGCGAACGGAGGACCCTTTTTTTTGCTCATCGAGGGGTGTGAGAGTCTGAGAGATAGACAGACTAGGGGAAGTTGAGGCTCCATATGTCAAAGTTTTGAGATACCATGCCCCGGCCCATCGCCTATCCGTCCTTTATTATACTTGCCTCGGTTTGTGCCTTCTTTTGAACAAGACTTTTTCTTCCTTGCAAACGCAAGGGGACAAGGGTGGGAAACGGCACTTGGCTGGGGTGGGGAGCTTTAATTCTTCTAGTGGCAACTCGTAGCATTTTCGCGATTCAGGGATTCGGACAATCACCTTTCATCTGCTCTACGAGTAATGAAGAGTCCAATATACGGCCCGACTTGACCGAAAACCCAAATTAAGCTACTCTTACACTTTTACTGCCCTCCCAGGGCCTCCGATGTGCATCTGCCGCGCCCGAATCGCCGACAATTATCACTCAGCTCTGCGCCTCTCACGCGACCGACTTGACTCGCCCTCGCCCCGAGCTTCTTTTCTGCCCGTCCCTCCATAGACGGGGGACCGGGACAGGCTCACCGCGGCTATCTCCCTCACCCAATCTCCGCACCTCTCCATCCACCTGAACCTCCCCCCCCCCCCCCCCCCCCCCCCCTCCCCCCCCCCCCCCCCCCCCCCCCCCCCCCCCCCGCCCCCCCCCCCCCCCCCCCCCCCCCCCCCCCCCCACCCCCGTCTCTTCTTCATCATCATCCTCGGCTTCTTTCCCTTCAACCGCGCCACTTGAACCGGCTCTGCCGCAACATGTCAAGCAGACCCGTGGGCAGGACCCCCTTGTCCACGACGACCAGGCTCCCGAACCAGGCAACCATGTCCTTGCCGTAGAGGCCGCACACCCACTGTTCGTAGCCGCTAAGTCCGTACCAGCCTGCCGGCGTGGTCTTAAGCGCGGCCTCCACCTCGCCCCTGAGTTCAATCGCCTTCGCGGCCGGCGTGTGCCGCAGCCTGTCCAGCGCCCGGCTCAGCGCCGGCGACGTGCGCCTCCGGTGCCGCGCAAACTCCTCGTAGCTCATGAACGGCTGCTCCCGTAGATCTCTGTAGTCGTCCGCGAGCAGCCACGGCGGGTGGTGTCGGGCGCCGGCGACGTCGACGTTGTCCCCCGTGTCCTCCTCGTAGGCCGCCTTCTTGAACCGGTACTCGGCCTCCTCCTCGGCCAGGAAGTCGTCCATGATCACGTCCGGGTCCTCGATGACGTCGTCGCGGATCAGGTAGAGGTGAATAAAGGGGTTCTGGAGTCCCAGGCCGCCCAGGGAGACGGGGAAATACAGGTAGCCGTCAGGGATATCCTCGACGCCGAACCGGTCGCCAATCAGCCGCTTCAGGTGCGCGCCAGCCCCGCCGGCGCCAAACAGCCTCTCCTGGATGCGGTGGAACGTCGCCAGCATGCTGTCCACGTGCTGGCGGGAGTAGCAGTTGGCGAGCTGGGCGCAGTTGGTCTTGAAGAAGCGAGCGCCGTAAATGTTCCACGCCTGGATCCAGTCGAACACGCTGCTGCACGCCTCCAGCTGCAGGCGCAGCTCGTCAATGTGCACGTCAATCTTGTCCTGGTCCAGGAGGAACCGCCCCGACACGGGGTCGAGCTTGAGGAATCCCCACACGACATGGCCTGATGGCAGCCGCCCCTGGGCCGTTGTCATAGTGCCCATCGTGGACTGTTGTTGGTTCGACCCGGCTACCGGGGGAGCGGCGGCGGCGGCGGCGATCCTGACGCTTCCCGTCTTGTCCCAGTTGAATTCCAGCCCTGTGAGGTTGACAAACTCGGTCATTGTCTCCCACGCCCGGGTGCAGGTCTCGAGGCCGCCCCATAGCCACATGTCATCGTGTAGTCGGTAGAGGCGGCAACCATCGGCTTGTTGGTTGACGGCAAAGTCCATGCAGAAGAGCATGGTCTCGGCAACAAAGTCCGCCAGGGGTGTGCTCAGGGGCGTGCCTCTCCTTCGGATCTGGGCTGGCGCGTCCGACGGGTCGCCGCTGAAGCGTAAGGGGCACTCGAGCACCCGCCGGAAGAAGCTGATCCATTCCCCGTCGACGCCGAAGAAGTCGAGCACGGCGAAGATGGACGAGTGCGGTACGCTGGGGCCGAACCACTTGAGGTCGGACCGGATGACCGTCACGTCGCTCCCCAACCGCGTCTGCATGATGATCTCGGACTGCACGAGGTGCAAGAGGTTCTGCACGACGGCGACGTGCGACTTGCGGCTGTCACCCTTCTTCTCCTTCCCGTCCGAGCCGTAGCCGCCGCGCTCCTCCGCCACCGACTGCGGCAGCTGGTCCAGCAGGATCTCTGACTTGAAGTGCGCTCGGAGCTTCTTCTCCACCGAAACAGGGCTCTCGATTTGCGCACCTTTTTTCAGGAAAAACCGTTGGCGGCGAACGTCTTCCTTGCTCATGGGCTTCGTTGCATCCTTTTCCACGCCCGGGCTTTCGAGAAACGTGATGAGAATCGCGCGCATCCTGACGGCCCACCGCTTGCCAATATGGTGGATAAAGATGGCCTGCAGAAGGTCGTCGTCCGGGTAGAAACGGTAGCGTCCGTTGAGTTGCCGCCGCACGTCGACCTCGGTCGCGCCGTCCCAAGCCCAGTTTTGTCGGGTCTGCATCCGCATGTTTAGCACGTCGGCGATCTCGCGCAGAACGACCTTGTTGTTGAGAAAGTCGTTGAGCGTCGTCCTTTTCTGATCCGTGAGGGTGTCCGTTCGGAGGAGACCGCGGATGGTGTTCATCAGGGAATCCTCGTCAAAGTGTGTAGCGGCGTCCCACGTTTCCTGGAATTTCTTGACGCTCTCCCTCAGCTCCTCGAATGCTCGGTGGATGTCCTTGGAGGGTGAGATGAACAGGCTCTCGAGGTAGCTCTTAATGGCCTGGCTATCCGTCTCCTTGGCATGGAAGACATAGCTCTCCCACGTCGCTCGTTGGTGGTGCATCTCCTCCCTGCCCACGGGGACGAACCCCGACTCGGCACCCTGTCCAGCGACCTTTCCAGCGGAGATCCATTCATTGACGAGCTTGCCGTAGAGTTCAGCATATCGATACTTTGCCGACTGGACGTCGAGCTCGTTGCGTATGGTGTTCTCGTAGTTGTTGAGGAAGCTATCGGAAACGCATGGGTCATACTCGGCTTGCTGGACGAAACGCTTGAGATTGTCGATAGATACCAGCGAGCCGTCGTCCACGGGAGCCATGGCAGGAAGCTTTTCGACCCGGTCGACCAACAGTTTGGCCCTTTTCCGGCTGTCCGTCTCATACGCCGCATCGTCTAGCAGTGCTCGCTTCCCCGACTCGTATGAAGCTTTCTGTTTATCCAATTGGCTGAGCTTCACACTTGTGATGGTGTGAAGGGTCTGGGACAAAATGTCGGAAGACGCCATCTCTGACGTTTGTATTTGTTGGAAAAGGGAGTGAGTTCCCGACGTTGTGAATCAGTGAAGAGTGGTGATGCTGAGAGAGTGAGAAGTGAGGTGAGAGACACTGGCCAAGTCTGCTTAAATACGGGAAAACATGTGGAAGTTATCAAGCGGCGCTGATTCAACTTGAAATGAAACGAATTGAGGCCATTTTTTCTCATGCCGAATGCTTGTTCGGCGTGAGTGTCCTCGTTTACTCGCTAAGCTTTGGATGGGCAGTTTGCCTGTTGTCAGACACCACCGGACATGGTCAAGTGGAGATGAGAGGAAACTGAGGCCATTTTCCGGCGGCCTCAGTGGCAACTCTTTCTCGGGAAGCAAACGTCGTGTACAAACAACATGGGGGAAGAAACAAAAACCATTTCTACCTGAAATTCCTTTTCTGTCATTTTGACACATGGTTTTTCAGGTAGACGACGCTTCATAGCACACTCGCGCAGAGAGATAAAAGAGAGAACCACCTCATACCTATACTGCTGGACCATTTCGATCTGGGCGTGCTCGGTCGCTTATCGATCCATCGCTGTGAAATGAGGGCGAGTTTTCCGGCATGTTAACGTCGCTTTCCGATTTCAAAACCCGACCGTTGCGAGATGCGTGTGAGGCCCTTGATTGAAGGGAGCATCATCAGCATCATGGCTTCCTCCAATCTCTTTTTTTTTCAATACCGAGTCGAAACACATGAATCTTTCCCACTGCCAAGATGAGGACAAAAGGCAGACGGGCGAAGTTAAAGAAAGAAGGCGCGCCGTGTGAGATTGACAGGGCACACCGACATCGGCACTGACGTGATTGCAAGGTTTCTGTCGATGGCAGGTGAGATAAGGAAGGCGTACGCAATGCTTCGGGATGTGCTAACCCAATAAACTCTTCGGCGTGATGCTTTGGATAGGTCAATGAAGATCAGTCGGGGCTGATTCCTCTGTGGCTGGGCGTCTGACACCAGTGACCAGAGATACCGACCATTGATTTGGGCTTATCGCAAGCCTCTGCGCAGAGTAGCACCTCACTCAGCGCGTGCTGCGCGGTTGCCTATTGCGGGCAGACGGCCGGGCACAGCTGCCAGGGGCGGGCGCCGAGTTTCGGGGTCCGGGGAACTGCCGTCACTGTGAATCTTCTTCAGCGATGCCATCCTTTTCCGGGAGCTTACATAAGGCACACTGACAAGGTAGAAAGCTTACACAGATGCAAAAGCTTTGACCCGAACGAGCGTTATCTACGGATACGCCCATCTCGACGACGGACGTTGACGACGTTGACGAAGGATTCTGAAGGGCTCACTCAACCCCCGACGGTCAATGCAGTGAAGGGAATCAGGTTTGAAGAAGAAGAAGAAGAAGAAGAAGCAAAGAGTGTGAGACCAAACCCCCAAAATGACGGCAGACGAAAAGCAAACGCGCCGCCGGGCCGCTACCGAACAGAGCTCCGAGACGACGCCCCTGCTCAACGGCAGTAGCACCAGCAATGGCACCGCCGCCGCCGCCAACGACGAGGAGACCACCGTCGTCGCCGACACTGTCTCCGGCGGCCGCCTGGCCCTCATCCTGGGCACCTCCTACTTTGGCGTCTTCCTCGGCGCCATCGACAGCACAATCATCGCCACCCTGTCAGGTCCCATCTCGAGCGAGTTCAAGTCCCTGAGCCTGATGAGCTGGCTCGCCACGGCCTACCTAATCTCCAACGCCGCCTGCCAGCCCATCTCGGGCAGGCTGACCGACATCTTTGGCCGCGGTCCCGGTCTCGTCTTCAGCAACCTCTTCTTCGCCGCTGGCAACCTCATCTGCGGCCTCGCGCGGACCGAATCTGTCATGATCTTCGGCCGCGTTGTCGCCGGCGTCGGCGGCGGCGGCCTCATGTCCATCTCCACCTTTCTCGGCTCCGATCTCATTCCCTTACGGCAGAGGGGCGTCTACCAGGGCATCGGCAACATCGCCTACGGCTCCGGCGCCATGCTCGGCGGCGTATTCGGCGGGCTCATCAACGACCACACAGCCATGGGCTGGCGACTCGCGTTCCTCGTGCAGGTGCCGCCCGTCCTCGTCTCCGCCGTCCTCGTCGCCGTCCTCGTCAAAGTGCCGCCAAAGGCCTCGGACAAGTCCTACCTGGCGCGCATAGACTTCTTTGGCGTCTTTTTGACAATTTCCTTCCTCGTGCTCCTCCTTCTCGGCCTCAATGCCGGCGGGAACCTCGTGCCCTGGATCCACCCCCTCCCGCTCACGACGATCCCCCTCTCCGTCGTGGCCTTTGTCGGCTTCATCATCTGGGAGAGCAGGGTCAAGCAGCCCATCATCCCCGTCCGCTTGCTCGCTAACCGGACCATCCTCGCCGCCTGCCTGACCAACCTGCTGTGCACCATGGTCATGATGATGGCCATATTTTACGTGCCGCTGTACCTCCAGGTCAACGGACTCTCGGCCACGCAAGCAGGCCTTCGGATCTTGACGTCGCCCCTGGGAGTCTCCATCATGTCCGTTGGTGCCGGCTACATCATGAAGAAGACCGGGAAATACGTGATCCCGGGCATTAGCGCCCTGGTTCTCTTCAATATCGGCATCGTCATCCTCACGCAATTCAACGAGAACACGCCGGCTTGGGTCAATTACGTTGTCTTCTTCCTGGTGGGCGGAGGCTACGGGGCCATGCTGACCATTACGTTACTCGGCTGCATCGCTGCCGTCGACCATTCGCAGCAAGCGGTCATAACGTCAGCAACATGTAAGTCATTCTTGGTGACATGGTAGCCGTCTGCAGAGACTGATTGATATTTGTAGACCTGGCCCGCAGTCTTGGGGGCACCATTGGCATCACCATCGGGTCCGCCGTGTATCAGAACGTTCTAAGGGTCAAGCTGTGGGATCGATTTGGCGATTACCCGAACGCTGCCGAGATCATTGGCCGGATCAGGGACGATCTCGACGAGCTGAAGAACCTCCCCCCTGGATGGAAGCCGGGCGTGATAGACTCCTTCAGGGAGGCGTTTGGCAGCGTGTGGTACACTATGCTCGGACTATCGATTCTTGCCCTCGTCTTTATTTCCTTGATGAGACAACATGTTCTTCACTCGACCTTGGAAAGAAGATGAAGGGCGGCCGCGACTTGTAATGTCATGCCCATCACGGCGCTCATTGGCAGAAAATCTCGGCTGGCTTCATATTAAGATGGCCAGTGCTTTCAGATTATCTCACGACTTCTTGGCCCCGTATCTAGAAAAGTCTTTTGACCCAATATCAACGTAGAAGATAGAATCATGACTGAGTCGTTTATGGTCCCTTCTGTTAATCTACCACAAAGAGATGGAAGGAACACATCTGCTGTCAATACAACTACTGTTGTTCTCGACCATTGATCATGGGGTGGAACATGATACTGCCCATCCTCAACTCCTCAAGCCGAGGTGACTTTGAACATCCGGGCGAACCGACCATGCCGAGTGCGCTGACCTAGCCTACCAATGGATTTGAGGCATATGGCAAACTGGCTTGGGGCATGGCGTCGTCCATCAGAGTGCCAGAGGACTTGGAAGGTGTGATGGATGGGCCTCCACCAGCATCCATGATGAACCAAGTATGCGGGGAAACCTCACACCGGTGCGTGTAAGACACCAAGACGAGGCATCCCTTGAGTCAAGCACAATCTCCTAGACCATAGTTGCGGATGCCATTGACCTCGATTGGCGTCAGCTCAGATGTAGTCGCTCGATGTGATGTGGTGGCTTGCTGGCTTCTTATTGGGCGCTGACAAGCTCATAGGTCTCGGGAGGAAGAATCTAGACATTGAACGGTTTCCAGTGGTGATGAATCAACTAAACTTTCCATCATTGGCTGAGGTGTCTGATTGGTTCTTCCGGGGTAGGAGCAACGACTATTCATCAGATGAACCTCGTCTCAAGTAGCTCACGCTGCTGTCTAAACGGTTGTCTGGGAAATACGATGGACGGGATGAGGGCCTTGCCAAATACTCTGGCTTCACGTCTATCGGTTCGGTTCATGTGAGAGTAACTCGGTTCCTCGCAACTCAAGGGCCTACTGTTCATGTCATGATTTGATTTCATTCAACGTAAAAAGCAGATGGTATATAAGCCCTACACATGGCCACAGGTCGTCACACATACGTCAGTGTATCACCATGCCCCCTTCACACCAACTTCCAGACACCGTCATTGACCTCAATTTTGATCTCGCGGTTCTCGTCGATGCTTTTCCTGCCGGCGTGGAGAATGGCCGTGGTGGCGATGGTGTTCTTGAGGGTGGGCAGGCCCTTTGCGTCGAGGTCCTTGGGCTTGAGCTGGCCCGAATTGACCTGCCTGCAGCCGTCGACGAACTTCTCGAGCGAGATGTAGCCGTAGCCGGTCTGGCCGTTGAAGTTGCCGTCCTCATCGGGCGCGTAGCGCATGTAAAAGGGGTTGTACCACATGAGCTGGCCCGCCGAGTCGTCGGCGACGTCGTAGCCGCGCTTGGCCTGGTCGACGCGGATCTCGCCGTTGGCGGCGAGGTAGTGGAAGTACTGGTTCGAGTGGACGCCGGCGCGCTGCGGCGCGGTCCAGCTGGCGGTGTAGACGCCCGTGGCCTTTCTGGTGGGGTCACCCGTCTTCTCCCAGTGGACGAGAACGGAGATTGTGTCCTCGGTGGCCGGGTCGCAGCCGAGGTCGGTGGCGATGCCCTTTGACGCCGAGGCGGAGACTTTTACGGGGACGAAGCCTTGTTGCGTGACCATGGAGTCGCAGATGTCGACGTGGTGGCTGTTGAGGTAGTAAGAGATGTCCGAGTCGACGCCGGCCCAGGCCTTGAAGGTCTCCAGCTGGGATTTGGGCTGGGACATGTAGCTGTAAAAGTAGTTGAAGTCGCCGAGCTTCTGGGCCTTGAAGCGGGCGTCTGAGTAGGCCGGATCGAAGCGCTTGTGGTGCTCGATGAAGACGTAGACGCCCTTCTTCTCGGCGGCCTCGATGAGGGCCTGGTGGTGCTCCAGGTCCTTGACGGCGGGCTTGGTCAGGAGTACGTGGATGCCGCGCTCGATGGCGTAGAGCGCAATGGGGTAGTGGGTGGTGTCGGGGGTGAAGATGGTGATGGCGTCACCGGCCTTGAGGGCGTCGATGGCCGTCTTGTACGAGTCGGGGTCCTTCTTGTCGTTGGCGGGGTATGAGTCGAAGGAGGTGTCCAGGCCGTTGTAGGCCTGGGTGATGTTCTTGTGGAGATGTTCCCCTTCAGCCGGTCAGCATGTCACCTCGACAATCTTGCTCGGGAAGCGGTTCCTACGTACTAATGGCGGGGAACTTTGTGCCATTGACGCCGACCATGCCCAGCTGGTTGACCTTGCCTCTTCTCCTCAAGTCAAAGAGAGTCAGGCCGACGACACCCACTTTCTTGTCCGAGCCAGAGGCACCGCCACCGACAAAGCCGGTGGTGTACTCTCCGGTACCAACCTGGTGATGGTGGAATCAGTAACTGGGACTGAGCGGTACGTGTGGGAATTGACTCACCATCAAGACATTGAGAGGCTCCATTTTGGTCGCGTCTTTTCTTTCAATGGTTTGAGTTATTGCGTGAGAGGGGGAGGAAAGTTTGAGAGTGATGGAGAAGAGGGAACCCTAGAGCTAGGACGGACGGCGAAAGCTAAGGTCTATATAAGAGGGGGTGGGAGATTATCGACGGGCTAAGTGGCACAAGAGCTCGGGCGAGAGGCAGCGAGGGAGCACCGATGAGAGAGGCAACGGGCAACAATGGGCAGGCCAAGAATGTTTTTCTTGGGACGAAGCTCGCTGTGGCATGGCGGCCAAGGGGAGCTCCCGTCTCGTCTTGTCTGGTGTAGTAGCTACTCCACGACAAGCTGGGCCCGGATAAATTGAGGGGCACAGGAGGGGGAAAGGCAATTGGAGGGATTTATCAGCCCCGCACTCCGCCGTGCGCCGGCTCCCCCAGCCCAGGCGCTGAACTGATCCGCTCAGACAGTACGATGGAGAGGAGCGTAGTGAGTCTTTGGGATAATTTCCTCTGGCGGTTCCTCTTGGCTTGCCTCGTCGAAATAACTCAAGATTGTACAAATGGCACGGCATACCTATGTATAGGTCATTATTCAGCGTAAAATAGTACCAACACGATGTGCGAGAGGCACGTGAAAGAAGCAAGTAAGACTTGCGGACAACTATTGATTGCATGAATGGAAACTTGTGCCTAGTGTGGAGGAAAGAAAAGAATGGGAGAGAAAAGTCCTGTAGCTGTCTCCGGAAACACATCCCGAGCATGACCGAAGCCACGGTGCCGGTGTTCGGAGGGGCACCGGCGTCATCAGTCCACGACGGAAGATGCGCCGCCACGCCCTCCTTTCCGGTAGTCATGGTGTGGCTTGCATTGCAAACAATTCTAAAATGCCTTAGAAGCGATTCCTACTTGAAGTTCATTCTGCCCATTTCTTGTCTCAGTCACAAGATGATTGCCCAGAGTGAAGACATTTACGAATTGCGGCTTTGCGACCGAGGACTTACCTTAGGTAGGTACATTACCTAGTACGAGACATATGGAGGGGCAGAAAAAGTGGGATGAGGGGGAGGGGGAGGGGCTGTGGGAATCCCAAGTGTGGGGCTGCGGCGTGCCGTTCTTCCATTGGGATTCGATTGGTGTACTCCATCAGATCTCCGTCAGGTGCCTCATTCCGTGTTAGCAGTCGGCCTAGTAACGTGTGGATTTGGCAATGGAAAGTAATGCCAATTTATCTGGACGAGTGGCCAGTTGGAGCAATGAACGCCGGTAATAAACCATCTGTAATCCAATGGCTGAGGGGCCGTGTCACAGAAATATCAACCCCAGTGCTGTACCATAGCTCAACGCAGGCCAAGGCTTTCCAGAAACCGAGAGCGAGCCCGAATACCTTTAGGCACTCAGTTTTGGGTAGAAAGATTCAAAGAAACTCATTTTCTCCAAGTTTTATTTGGGCATTAAACAGACTTCACTTGGACAGCCTTCGCACGTCCAGGGAGACAGACCTCTAAATGCTGTGTGCATCGACAACGCAACGGGTGTAAGTCTCAGTTGGACTAGCTCCGTTCCCCGCCCCCACGCCCCATCTGCCCCGCGTCACCTCGTGACATGGATGACTGCTGGTTCAAAGTACCTACCCGAAGTACCTTTTGTCAGTCCCTGACCAAAACATACCAGATCTTTGAACAACTTCTCGAGTTGACGGATTCCTGCTGCTTTTAACAGCGCTGAGCAGGTGCGGCGATGCATCATCCCAACCTCTCTTGTCGATTGAAATATACCATCGAGGGATCTCATGCAGGCTGTTGCAACCTCTGCAGTAATATTCATCCATACCGAAACACGCACCAGGTTTCCCCGCTCCACATAGAACCGGGCGATGGGATCCTTCACCTGCGAGACAAGAAGCATCGCATGCAGAATCCGATAATTTATCCCTCTCCAACCGGCTAAAAGAGCAAAATCGCATTGGTCGGCAATCCGGTGAGTTGTGATTCATTGCCCTCAAGACTACAAACAGTCTTTGAGATTTTGCGCGACTTTACCCGAATGTTGGACTCAACTCAGGACCGCCATACCTAAGAAGGACTTCTTTTACGCCAGAAGGTAGACTCTAGGCCATACGCACCTTGGCAAATACCCCGAATACTCAGCATATTCGTACATGTGTCTTGTCTATGTACATGCGATTTTCAGGTTGATCACGGCCCGTGAGGTCGGACGCACTCCGTACTTGGTTTCCTATTCATCTGGGTCGTCCATCCCGTTCTAGCCCTGATGGCTGTACCCTCGTGCCCCTCCGCGCCTGCTCAAACTCTCAGTCTGAGATACCACCCGACGGCATCTCCACTGAACACAGAGACACCCCACTAACCCTCCTAGACCCAATACTTGGGTTTCTATTGGCGGAAAATCTTGGAGGTGGTTTCTCCGTCCACTCAGGCCACTCCCATTTCCATCAGTTCACTCTTCTCCAACCCTTCAACGGAGCACAAATCCATGCCAACCTCTCACATATCGTCAAGGAGAGGTTACAGCAATGCACTGCGCCATCCCATCTGCTAGATGCTCAACAGTTTTATACCCAATGCCGGTTCTCTCCCGCCGGCCACCGGCTGCGGTCACCGGAGCTGACCGGCAGTGACCGGGACATGCCAGAGAGGCACGCATCGCTGGCGCAGAGCATAGCTTACTATTGCTCGTACGTTTCCACAGTATGGCAAGACGTCTTTTCCACCACTTTTTGCTGACCGCAGAATTTCAGTACCCTCTGTATCATGTTCCACTGCTGTCATGGCTCTCGTCATTTCCATGTTCTCCATTTTACCACTTAGTGTGTCTACTATTCTCCCTAGGCGGTGTCGATAGATCAAAAGAAGATTACGGGGAAAGTTCAACTTATGCACGACGGGCGAGCAACCCCGAGACTCGGCGACCAATCGCCGGATGATTTACCAGGCACCTCCGTCCTGAAGGCGTGCATGTCCCTTTTCGGCGCTAATGCTAAGGGCGGGTTCGACGACCCTTGTGTGCATGGCGGAACTACACGGTATTACACCTCTCCCCAATGATGGCCTTTTCCTCATTACCGTCTCGCGTTGTCTTCCACGTACGATTCCAGATTCCGGATACCACCCAGCCCTGCGCTGGCTGCCTCCATGCAGATCTCGTGGCATCGGCCGGGAGCATCTGGCTCATTGGCGCATTTCATCTTCCCAGCAGATCCTGTCCACGACACAGGGCTACAGCAGATGCGTCCTCGCTACCGTCTATTACCGGAGCCCACGGACGACGGACGTGAGTGGGCGATGTTGGGCTGGAGGTTCAGGGGAAGTCTCTTGGTTGTCTCGGATGCCTCTCGTCTTGTGACGACTTGTTTCCCTCGACATCTGCAAATACCCCGCCATGGCTGAGAACCCAGGGACATCTCCCTCGCTATGTGACTTGGAGGCAGAGAACCGGCTTCATACTCGCTAATGCTGTTAGTGTTCTCAGTCAAGACCTCTGCAACCCCTTTAGCTTGACCAACAATGTTCTTTCAACCCGTTGAAGGCCATGAAAGAGCAGGAAATGGACACCAAAGTCTCATCATCTCCTGAACTACCTGGAAACAGCTTCAGCTGGAAACAGGAACCGCTTGCCGCAGTACCGGCGACGCACCTCAACTCTACATAATACACACTCCACTCTGCACACTCCACCCCCTTCTCCATCTCTCTTAGCGTCTTTTTACTCCAAAGTAGTTTCCGATTGCCCCCCCCCCTCCCTCCCCCAACTGGTGTGCAAAGGAGCGTCCCAAAGTGGCCCTGTCGTGCAGTCGTTAGCTTCTCCGGTCTTGGATTCCAGTCTACACGATGCTCGATAGTTCGGGCCAATGTCCACACGAGCAAGTCCCTCGCGACGTGTCAAATATTTATTTCTAGACTCATCCCACCCCACGCGGGCCTGCTGATACTGGAGCAGGCCCATTAGCTCACGAGAAACCTTCTTCGTCATTTCTCTTCCTTCTCTCTCCTATAAATACGACGCCGGCCTCTGCCCACCTCTCTGGTCAGTACCTGTCACCTCTTCTCACCACTTATTCCACTCCTCTCCTGTGCGCTTTCACCACTCTGGTCTGCCCCTCTCACTCACACTTTCTTCACAGCTCTCATCCATCCAGCTCGCCCACCACTACCAGCTCATCATGACTGTCTCCAACGGAAGCAGTGGCGCTCGCCGCCCCCTCCCCGTCGGCATCTACGCCCCCACCATGACCTTCTTCGACCCCGAGACGGAAGATCTCGACATCCCCACCATCAAAAAGCACGCCGAGCGTCTGGCCAAAGCCGGTCTCGCTGGCCTGGTTGTCATGGGCTCCAACGGGGAGGCTGCCCACTGCACGCGGGAGGAGAAGCTGGCCGTGACCAAGGCCACCCGTGAGGCTCTCGACGCCGCCGGCTTCCAGAGCACCCCCATCATCCTCGGCGCCACCGAGGGCAGCGTCCGCGGCACCATTGAGCTCTCCAAGGCCGCCATCGAGGTCGGCGCCGACTACTCTCTCATCCTCCCCCCCTCCTACTTCCGCGCCCAGATGGACGAGCAGGCCATCTACGACTACTTCATCGCCGTCGCCGACCAGAGCCCCATTCCCCTCGTCCTCTACAACTACCCCGGCGCCGTGTCCGGCATCGACATGGACAGCGACCTGCTCATCAAGCTGGCTGAGCACCCCAACATCGTCGGCACAAAGTTCACCTGCGGCAACACGGGCAAGCTGACCCGCGTGGCCCTCGCCACCAACGCAAAGACCCCTTGGTCAGAGGGCTCCGGCTACATGGCCTTTGGTGGCATATGCGACTTCACGGCCCAGACCCTCGCCAGCGGCGGCAGCGGCATCATCGCCGGCGGCGCGAACGTCATGCCCAAGGTCTGCGTCAAGGTGTGGAACCTCTACTCGGAGGGCAAGAGGGACGAGGCCATTGAGCTCCAGAAGAAGCTCAGCCGCGGCGACTGGTTCCTGACAAAGGCCGCCATCGCCGGCACCAAGGGCGCCATCCAGAGCTACTACGGCTACGGAGGCTTCCCCAGACGGCCCCTGAGACGTCTGGAGAAGGCCCGCACCTCGTCTATTGAGGAGGGGATCAAGGAGGTGATGGAGATTGAGAACTCGCTCTAATTGGAACGCGGCGGCTCTCTGGTCATGATTTCACGCACTCATGATAGATGATGAGAGGAAGGAAAAACAGACCATTATGTGTGGGCACTTTTGCCCGGCGTGGCAGATGGTGGGGTAAACGTCCTCCCACCGATCACCAGCCGTGGGGGTCTCGGAAGAATGTCCGGGGTGATGCTATGCCGAGCTTTGGCTACCCCCTTGACACACCCACTATTACTACCCTCACATAACTCGGACTTTGGCTCTTCCTGACCCCCCTTCCCCCCCCAAAAAAAAGGAAAACGCAGTGGGCAGGCATCTATCGATAGTTTTAAAGGGAGTTTTTTGGTAGGAATAACGATTGGGATAAGAGGTTGCATTTGCTGGTAACATCACCAACAACTCTTGTACTAGGAGCGCATAGTCAGAGATAGCATCCTTTGGCCTAGCATCATAGGGAGCCTCATAATAGAACCTCTTTTTTTGTATGAATTTCAAAATCGTTCATGTTTTCATTCATCATTCGTCTACGTTATTGTTGTCTATTGGCGCCCAGCACAGTTTCTAGTGCCAACTTCCGCTTCATACCGCTCTGAAAATGTTGCCACATCTACACCCTATACCGCCTCGGATCCAGCTCCGAAATATCGGCGCTGGCGGGCTTGCCGTCAAGTATGTACTCGGACATGAGCTTGCCCGTCGCGGGGCCGTTCTGGATACCCCAGCACGTGTGGCCGGCCGCGAGCCACAAACCAGGCACCGACGTCGCGCCGATGAGGGGCCCGGACTCGTGCTGTGGGAGGTAGCACGCCTGCTTTGCCTTGATGGAGGCGGCTGCCAGGGCTGGGCTGACGGTGGCGATGTACGAAATGATGTCGTCGCAGTTGGCCTCGTCTACTTGGACCTTGTCGGCCGTGTCCGGTAGCGGTGCGTCTTCGTCTGGTTCGCCTGGAGTGGGGAAATTGCTGTAAGCTTCAATGTTTCGATGACTTGGGTCTGGTGTTCTGCATCTGGGGAAGGGAGGGGAAGGGTGAACCAACCGCATGCGTACACCTCGCCGTACGGCCGAGCGTAAATCTCCGGGTCGACGACGCGCTTGTGTTTCCTCTTTTGACCGTTGCTGACTCGGTGCTCGGGCACAAAGTCAGCTGGGAGCTTGATGCTGGTGAAGACGGCGTAGGGGCTGACGTCGGCGTTGTAAACGACGCTGTGGGCCCGCAGGCCTGTGACCTTGGACCGCGGCAGCAGACGGCCGGTCCACGGTCCGGCGGACACCAGGACATCCGTCACGTCGTCGATTGTCCGGGTCTCGTTGGATTCGCGGTCGAGGTACTCGACGCTCTTGACGCCGCCGCCCTCGCCGGAGAAGTTAATGCTCTTCAGCTGCGCGTTCGTCCGCACCTTGACGCCTTTTTCCTGAGCCAGCGCTGCCATCGACGTTGTAAAGTCGTAAGGATGCACCTGCGCCGTCTCCGTCGCCCCGGGCCTACCCATCTCCGCATAGGTCTCGACAGCGGCCCGGTCGATCCAGTCGAGGTCCTCCGGCACGCCCGAATCCCGCAGCATGGCCTCGGCAGCCTCGTCCTGCTTAGGGAGCCTCTCCCACCCCTTTTCCTGCTCGCCGTCGTTGGCGCCGGGGGCGACCGCTTCAGGCTTGGCGGCGGCTTGCTTCAGAGTTTCCAGCTTGTGCTTCGTGACGCGGGCCTCGAAGCTACCGCAGTTGAGCCTCCGGTACCCCCACCGCTTCTCGCCGCCGTGCTCCGCGGCGAGCTCCTTGTGCAGGCGGTACGACAGCGGGACGAGGCATGCGGGGTAAGCCCAGAGGGCGAGCAAGCCGCCCGCTTTGCCAGAGGCGCCCGATGCGATGGCGGTGGCCTCGAGGATGGTGATGCGGTGCAGAGCAGGGTTATATTTTGGGTGTCTGGTGAGGAAGTATGCCGTTGTGGAACCGATGATGCCACCACCTGCGCCTCCTGATATCAGTCTACGAGGAAACCTACGAGCGGCGACGACGACCACCCTGTTGTAGACGTACCGACGATGACAATGTTCCGTTTCGCTTGGGGATCCATGGCTGGTAAGGGCGGTGTTAGTGTTGAAAAGGCCTCTTCCTCCAGTATCCGTCTTGCAATGTCCAGTTGCCGTTTCTCGCGCCGCTGCTTCTTCGTCTTCTTCCTGACGGCGGGCATTTCGTCACCGCGGGGCGGCCGTCCCGCGGTCGAGTTCGAGCTCGAGAGCACGGTCCGGGGCGGGGTAGTTCCTTATCGATAGCGGGTAGTAACGGCCGCGGGCCGTTGATAGAACGAGACTCTGTGTGGACTGCGGCCGGGTCGCGGCCCCTCCCCCTCCTCTCCAGGGTAGGTATCTTTGAGTGGATAGTGGATTGCAGCAAAGCCCCGAACAGCGTGACGTGATTCGGGGTGGTTCGCAACTGAGGATTGGAGGATGAGAGCCAGGGACGGCAATTGGCCCGGGATATAGCTTGCATTCCAAATATGGAAATTACCTCGGCGAGGAAGCTATGACGGATCAAGCGTTGATCCGCCTCGGCTCGGCCCAGAAAGCTTAGTAATTAACAACGGATGGATGGTTAACGTCATGAACCAAGTGGGAGGGAAGGAGCCCCTCCCCGACCTCCTCGGTGGTGTTGCCTCGACTCGGCCAGTCCACCGCTACGGAAGACCCGGACTTCAAAGTTGGTGCTGGACAAAGTCGATGCTTCAAACCCGTCTGGACTGGCCGACTCGGGCACCGGAACAACGCATTCAACCGACTGGCTCCACACTCACATGAAGAGAGCCGGGTCTCGCGTTCGCTTCTGGAGCTAGCAGGTAGTGAATCTGTATTCTCAAATCAACCTGTTGTTATAGACATGATTTGTCAGTGGTCTTGTTAGTAAAATTTCTGTAGCAAAGGATGCCGCGGAAGTTGAGCAACTAGTGACCGACGATGCATTGTCTGATACTCTGGTATCCATCGGCAAGGACAACTAAATCCGCAACTTCGGGACGTCTGAATTGAAACAAAATGGCACCAGAAAATGCCGTTCCGTACCTCGGCCGATGCAGAGCTTGTCGACCCTCCCGCTTCCATCGCGACGGAGCCCCACAATGACCGAAGACCCTCTTGTTCTGCCCCACTCGAGGTGTCAAAGTGCATATCTGTAGAGGCGTTGGTAGTGTGATGGTGCAACACTAACGGTATTAGACGGCAGAGTACAGAAAAAGGTACATGCTATGTTGGGTGTAGGTAGTCGAGTAGCCTCGATGCGAGTGCACGCCCGTGCCCGGGGGCCCATTGGAAACCGGATTGAAACTTTGTCCCGGCAGCAGAAAGGAAAGACGGCGTACTTCCCGTCCCTACATCTCCAATTTCTCCCTCGTGGCGTCACACATGGCATGTTTCGTCAACTACATACCAAAGCTTTCTCTTCCATAACAACCACTGCTCCCGTAGCTGTGCATCATCCTCGACTCTTCTTTCTCTACATCAACTCGCTCACAACTCGTGCATCATCGCCAAAGCGACCGCATTTTACCAACAAGCACCAATTGCGGGGTAATTTCAGAGCTATCGCAGAAAAGCAACAGCAAATCCACACAACCGCAGCAATGGCATCAGCAACAGGCTTCTACGACTTCAAGCCCTTGGACAGTACGTGTGATTTGATTGCCGCGCGCGCTGACCAAGGAACCTGAAACTTGTTTCGCTGACATGTTCTCCTCCTCAAAACAGAGCGCGGCCAAGAGGTCCCCCTCGCCGACTACAAAGGCAAGGTCGTCCTCGTCGTCAACACGGCCTCCAAGTGCGGCTTCACCCCGCAGTACGCCGGCCTCGAGAAGCTCTACAAGGACATCAAGGAGAAGCACGGCGATGACTTCGTCGTCCTCGGCTTCCCCTGCAACCAGTTTGGTGGCCAGGAGCCCGGCTCCGACGACGAAATCCAGAACTTCTGCCAGGTCAACTACGGCGTCTCCTTCCCCATCATGCAAAAGATTGACGTCAACGGCGACACCGCCAACCCCCTCTTCCAGTGGCTCAAGGAGGAGAAGCCCGGCATCATGGGCCTCAAGCGCATCAAGTGGAACTTTGAAAAGTTCCTCGTCGGCCGCGACGGCCAGGTCAAGGGTCGCTGGGCCAGCACTACCAAGCCCGAGAGCTTGGAGAAGCCCATTCTCGACGAGCTGGAGCAGAAATAAACGCGAGAGGAAAGAATGATACCCAGAGCGTGTTGGGCTGTTCATCATGGAGCCCTGGTCGCTGGTTCAGCAAATCTGAGCTAGTGACGGGTCTCGTGGTGCAGCTGACAAGCGTCAAACTCCCTTCGGTTTACTATGCACGGAGGATAAATAGCAAAATGAATCAATAAAGTGATTTACTCTGTTAAAGATCTCCATGAAGTGTAAGTGAGGATGCGGAGACGTCAGTGTAGTTGAAATAAACCTACAGGACATTCTCAAAACGATCCTTCCGTAGATTCATTAATTCCATGACGTCAGCAAGATAACCATGAACAAACTGACGCTGCTCTCCAATGGCTATGCGCCATATTCACTTATTGAGGCCCTCGAGAATTTCCAAGGCTTGATATGGTCGTGCTTCTACACGCAATATCTCTTGTCTCGACTGACGTGTGAAGGAGTCTTGCTCCCGTCCATTGGTAGCATGATCCTCTGATCATTTTCACCCTACAATTCAGCGACGTCCATGAAGTCTGGTCGCTTCTTTCGGTCCACCTTCATCTCTTCAGCAAGCTGGCCGAGGGCTCAAGTCAGTACTAGCCATCATGGCTGGTGTCATCGCCGTAATACTTGGCCGAGGCTACCCACTCGGCTCTCGAAACCTGCTTAGAGGGCCAAATCCTCCCTAACAGCGACAAACCAGAAGCCAAAACCCAAGAGGCTGTTCTAGGGATAGCCGTACCATGACCCTCTGGTTGCTCTCTTGCGTGGCTCACTTTGACTGTTGCCATCTCACACAAGTCCAGGCTTACTGACGCGACCCAGGGAAGATGGGACGATACTTCGCAGGGGGAAGTGAGGTTGGTGATCACTGCCAATCTTGAAAAATTGTAGCACAGCCGAGTAGCGAAAACTGTTCTGATCTCCACGCATCAAAATCCCTCTAGGACTCTGCCCAACACATGCGTATCTTTGGAAAGAGCTATTTGCGGGCCGTATCACACACCGCGCTGTATGTAAATTTCTCTATAACTCACAAACACTCGACTTTTGTAGCGGCGCTGGTAACGGACGACGGCTGTTCAAATCGCACCTGTCCTCGCCTAGAAATTATGACCTACACACTCTTGCTTATAGCTACTGTGGCCACACAGGTCGAGAGTTCCTTGGAAAGAAGGATGAGACCGTGGGCACGGCCATCCCGCGGTGCTCCATTTTTGAACGTATAGACAATATTAAAGTAGTCTTTTGCCAATCTCAAGACGGCCTTTGACCAGGCCATACCAATTTTGATTCTATCAACCTTAGAATCATCGACCGCCCGCACCTGCAAGCGACAACTGACCAAAAGTCCCATGTCCTTTTGCTCACGCGGCATCTGCTGGATATCGTACCTAGAATCGGACACACTCCTTCGTCCCTAACTTAGAATCGCCTGTTTGAACTGCCGGGAGGGCATCTACTTCGCTGCCACCGTACCCAACCAACCCATGGGGATCGGGTTTCCGGACTTACTTCGACGGCGGCGACGGCGAGAGTGGGGCCGAGCGGGACCCAGACCCGGCTCAGCTTCACGGACAATACTGAAATGCACAAGAATTCCCGCCACGAGGTCGAGGATAATGTGACCCTACTTCCACGTGCATCTGCAAGCCATTGACACTTGGAGGGGGAGTACGGCGTCGATTCCTCAGGACCTTACTACGAGTGGACCGTGTTGGGATACTAGGTGCTCTCTCGGTCAGGTCAAGGTGGGCTCGGTGTACATTTACCACACGAGCCACACTAACCCAAGATGAGCCAAGCGGCCCCTCCGCGATAAGATAAGATTACAAAAAATTCGAGAGCGGCACTCGAGCGCCTCCAGCGACTGCGTGCGCCTCTCTGTCTCTGCCATTGCACCTTGTTCACCTTCTGGATTCACTTCACCAATCCGATAGTTTTTGATCCCCACCTCCCTTTTCCCGCAAGAAAAATACAATCGCAACAATGGGTTCCGTCCTCCAAAAGAAGAAGCGCCGCTCCGGCCGCGCCAAGGTCAAGATGCCAAACAGGCCCAAGAAGCTCCTCAACCCTCTGGGCAACGACATCATCGCAAAGAACTGGTACGCGGAAACACACAATATCTCGTTACACCCTCCACTCCGACTGGCTTCATTCCATAGTACCTTTCTCCGACGAATTCAACCAGCTATATCTAACCTGCATCGTCTTCTAGGAATAAGAAGGAGACCCTGACGCAAAACTACCGCCGCCTCGGCCTCACAGCCCGCCTCAAAGCAGCGACAGGCGGCACCGAAAAGACCCTCTCCCAGCTCGAACAGTCCAGAGGCAACGGCAGCACCAAGGCCGCCGCCCAGCGCGACCCCTTTGCCATCGCCACCACCGAAGAAGCCGTCTTTGAAGAAGCCCGCGTCGAGCGCGACGAGAACGGCAAAATCATCAAGATCCACTACAACAGCAGCAGCAAGCGCAGTAACCCCCTCAACGATCCCTTGAATGCCCTCGAGAGCGACGGCGAAGACAACGACGACAACGAAACCGAGGAATGGGGCGGTATCGACGACGAGAGCAGGCCCGAGGTGATTCGCCTTCTCGAAAAGGAGGCCGCGCTGCCCGAGGTCAAGAAGCCGAGGCACATGAGCCAGCAGGAGAGGGAATGGCTCGAGAGGCTGGTCGCGAAGCACGGCGATGATTACGAGGCCATGGCGCGGGACCGGAGGTTGAACCCCATGCAGCAGACGCGGGGGGATATTGCTCGCAGGGTGAAGAGGTTGACTGGCAAGGCTTAATTTGATGTGAGGAGAGTGGAGAAGAAGAAAGTGAGGAAGGAAGGGGAGACCAGGGGGCATTTGCAGAGAGGCCAAGAGAAAAGTTCACAAAAGGGGTTCACTCACGATGCATGTTGGTGGGATGGGAGAGCCTGGCTATAGAGGAACACTGTCGCGTTTCCTCTTGAGGAGTTATGGCGTTTTCAGATAAAACTTTGGCATAAACAAAAAATTATTCCGCATGTTCACAATAGACGCAAGTTGCTGTTCTGACGCAATTTGCTGTTTTTTCAGACTTTTGATCGTCATGTCATCAAATTTGATGTCTACCTAGAGAGAGCTTCATGCCTGGTATCTTTGCGATAACCTTTATACAAATAGGACGCCGACAACACCCCGTTATCCGGAAATAAAATCTCAAGCCATCTATGTGAACACTGGACAGCACAGTCCCTCATCAAACCAAAACCTGGCCGGTTTTGCTCGGACTGTAGCCCTGCCATCACAACCCATCATACTGGAACACATCGCCCCGCTGAAAGAATGGGAATATTCGTCTTAGTGCATCGTGCGATCGTAGGGCGCGGAAGGGAACTGCGCAGGCCGGTCGTCATCATAGGCGGGCGCTGCGCCGTACGGCTCGGGGGTGGTGTACGGTTGTACTGCCGCCGCGGGGCTGGTGGACGTGGGCCTCTGGGGATGGGTTTGAGAGTGGTACTCGGTCTCGCTGTCGAACATGGCGCCGTTCTGGCGAGAGGGGAGGGATCCGTAGCGGTTCGGGTCATCGTCCTCGGCGCCGTAGGCAGAGCTGCCGGCACCGTAGCGGCTGTTATAGCTGTCGTTGGCGTACCCGTGGTTGCCGGTGGCGTTGCCGCCGTAGAGTGTAGTGTTGTCGTCGTGGTCGTCCATCTGGACGGGGGCATAGGCCTCCTCGTCGTGGGGCGCCATGGAGAAGGCGGCCTTGTCGGGGTCGATGTTGTCGCCGCTGAGCTTCTCCTTGTCGTAGCCAGGGAGCTTGCCGTGGAACTGATAGTACTTGAGGGTGTACAGACTGACAAAAGTGCTGGCGCCGAAGAGAAGGCTGTCCGACTGCTGTTAGCATCATCGCTAGAGGGAAGCTGTGAAATGTAATCTTGATGACTTACCATACGAAAACGCCCAAGCCGACAATGGCCTTGCTGAGTTTGCAGCCGTCACCGCAATCGTTCGCCGTGTTGTAGGCCGCCTGACTTGCGAAAGCAGAGAGCCAGATGATGGTGAAGCAGGCGTCTACGATGGCCATGGCGTAGGGGTTGGCCAACTTTCTCGTCCTCGGCCACCGCGGCGCCATAATCAGGTAAATCCACGCCGGTAGCGAAAGAAAGCACTGCGATGCCACTGTCAGCAATTTGGATACCGCCGGATTAGCACAGTTTCCCCGTCAGGATGCCTTACCACTCCGAAAGTCCACCCATTGTTGCCGACGATTTTGGCATTGTCAGCTCTAAAGACGGCGATTTCCAATGCCCAGATGGCGAAGGACAGGATGAACTGGAAGATGTGCAGGCCGAGCTTGACGCCGGGGACGTATTCCGGGTCGAAATCTAGATTTCCAAGCATGTTTGTCGTCGAGTCGTCGAGGATGGCGGTTTTTTGGATGATCTAGCAGGCTTTCCCTACGTTGGAGATCGAAAGGGGGAGGTGGGATGGGAGGAGGTTGTCACCTATGCGACTGTTGCTCCCCTGGCCTTTTTTCCCCTTCTAAATAAAGATCAAACTCAATCCGGCTCGGCAACGGGGTTTGGCGAGACAACCCAGGACCGGAGACGAGTGGACGGAGAGTTTTGGGGGCCAATCGATAAGGGAACCCTCTGAAATGATGTAGCTTGTTCACTTAGGTTGTTCGGGTTGTGGGAACGAGTGCCAGTGCTGTGCTGCTACTGCTCAAAAACCACTACAAAGTGCCTAAGCTGTAGGCAAATGTGAATATGAGGAGAGGGTGAAGGAATGGTGAGATTGGGAAGCAGTCAAGGTAGAAGACGGGGAGCAGGATCAAAGAGGCTTTTGGGGACGCGTCTGCCTTTTTCTTGTCTTTAAAACGAAACAGCCCCGGCTGACCTCGAATTGCGGCAGTGACGAGACGTGGATTCAGTGGGCAACGACTCGTTCCCTCTTACAGTGGCAGGGGAGTGGACGCCCGGCAGAACAGTGGGTCCAAGCCGCGCCTGAAGCTTCCGTCGTCATCTTTTCTGCCCTGCCCCTACCTACCTACCTCTTTACCTCGAGGTACGGATAAGATATCAGGGTCTATAATCGTTGTCATATTTGCCCAGGATCCCCTCTACGGCCATTTTGCAGCCCCGATGTTGCTGAACCTCAACGCGCAATGGGGCGGGATGACTGAGTTTCCCTTCCCGAACGACGCCAATGCGAACTCATGGCTCACGGCCCAAGGACGGTCCTTGGGACGGACGGATTCCACCCAGGTTGAGATGGGAATTGGGACGGGATGAGCTGTCCATCCCGCAAGGCATACGCAGACAGACTGCGGACTTGGGTTGAACCAAGCCACTCAACCGCTGGGTTTACCACTGCGCCACTGCATCCCAGGCAGCGAATTATCGTCCCTCAAGCGCTGGCAGCTGAGCAATAGATCCCTGCACGCCACGCCTCCCGAGCGAATAGTTCGAACCGGCTCTTTTTTTTAACCTTTTGTTCTCTTCGCCCTATGGCACTTGGTGTCGCCGCATGGGACCAAAGGGACGTGTACTACATGGATAGTGATTACTCAAGGTACAGAGAGGGTAGCCACGCACTAAGTCAATGGTGTGTCTGCCTTTCGTATTCTCAACCGTCGACCGGCGCAAGCCAATGGCTGACGCGCCGTTGTTTCTCATACCGAAGCCAGCGAGCCCTAATTGCTCTCGACGTCGGATTGGACGTTGCTTCGCTGTTGCTTTGCTGCTGCTGCTGCATGCTAAAATTGTCCTGGTTGTCTGGGGTGATGCGCGGAGGCAAGGGGGGGAAAGGACAGACGACGACCATCAATGATGACAACCTGCAGGACGATGACGGGCCCCTGTTTCTGGATTGTGACCCACGGCAGAGGACCGCCTGGAGAGTGTGGTTTTTGCGAACGGACCCGGAAGCTGTCAGCAGGATGGAGCCGCCAAAAGAATGCGCGCGATACTAACCATGAACACTGCCAGACTGACCGACGTCCGGCACCTCCAGTTCTGTCTATCTGTAGAGAACCCAGGAAACTCAAGAAGCTAACACGAGCCCGCTGCCGCCGCATTCCGTATGGTCCACGCGCACAGCGGCTGAGCCGCCCAGCGAGCGTTCCCCTCCTCCCTCCGCCAGGATTGCGACGCACAAGGTCCAATCGGCCTTGCGTTGCCTGGTCACAGGGCAATTGTTGTCTCTCGTACGAGATCAGAGACGAGAGTGCCCCAGAGCCTCACCCTCCATGCGAATGCGGTCCATTTCCGCAGACCATGACCTTGATCTGACAAACGGGGAACCTTGAGGGCATCTCCATCGAGGTACATCTTTCTCTCTGCCTTTTGTCTCCCATATTAATAAGGGCCGTTGGTCTGATCGCCAGAGCGGGAAGAGGGCACTTTGGGTACTCAGATGCCCTTGCGTCAGGAAATAGAGTCCCTGGCGGAGTGTGGACACAGTGGCGTAAGTCTTTGTCGCCCGATGTTACTCATGTAAAGAAGGGTCCCCTCCATCCACGGCCGCAGGACAGAGCAAGAAAGCATCTCACCTGTGAGGAAGCGAGCGAGCGAGCGAGAGTTGCGTCGCCATCTTGGCTGTACCCGACATAGCCACTCTGGCTTGCATGTCGCCAATATCCATATGCCGGCGCAGGTTGAGGCCTCTTCCCGACGTGCAAAAGGCGGGGGAGTTGTCTTTCCATTCCGGGGCATCTTCCATCTTCTCCGTCTTCCCTCGTCGGCGTTTCCGACTCACGACCGGCCCGAGAGAGCCATGTGGCGGCGGCTGCAGCGGCAGCAGCACAGAACTCTGAATCTTGGGACGAAGTCTGGGTGAATCTTGCATGCCAGCGGCCAGTCCTCCATCCCTAGCTTGCGGCTGAATACAACTGGAATTCAGCACGGACACGAAGCCTCGTTCAATGTCTCGATAATGTCTCCGATGTCTCTGATCCCTTCAAATCTCATTCAGCCCTTGGCTCCAACTCATCACATATCCAGTAAAGGGTCCTGCAATGAGTGCTATCATCTATGAACCATGAACTCACAATATTAGAACCGGTGTTGTCCAAATGAGATGCGATGAAATAAATCGCTTCGCACTCGTACAGTGTGAGATAACACGGTTCAAAGGCAAAATCTTGGCACTGTGCACAGTGTAGAAATGAGGGTCTTCCACATTGAAATTTCACGACTGAGACGTGCCTCATTTCGAGCCCTTGACAGACCCAATCTTTGGCAACCCCTCCAACCTCACTCGATCTCACCTTGGATAAGGTAGCTCAAGTCGAGATCCCCTACCCCTTCAAAAACGTCATGGCGCAAACAACGCCAGCAGGCGCGCCCGCCCTCTCGGACCTCATCTTCCCCACGACCGCCAACCACAACTTCTCCCACATCCTTACGGACCTCAAGCGCTCCAATCTCTCCATCGCCAACAGGCTACGCTCCATCACGCAGGATGCTGAGTTTGTAAAGGATGTCGTCGCGAGCTATGGCGGCCGGCCCCTCGTGGCCAACGAGCGCTGCGGCAGCTGGTATATCCGCCCGGGGGATAAGAGGGCGAGCGCTTACTTTAAGAGCACCGACGGGCACACCAATGCGTGGAAATTTAGTACGCGGAGGTTGAATCTGCATCTCCTTGAGCTCGTTGGGAAGCATGATGGGTGAGTTGAAGTGAATTTGTGGTGAAATCTCGCATTGTTTTGGTATAGGAATCTGGCGTGGGCAGAGTTTCATGTATATACCGGCTTTATAAGAGCAGAGCTGACCGAGGCCCCAGCTGCATCATCGTAGATTCAACCCGTAGGGGCAAGAGTAAGGTTCATTGAGTACACATGAGAACCAACACTGACACACAACCCCAGGAATGCCAGACGCCCTAAGCAAAACCATCCCCATCTGGTGCACCGTCTTCAACATGGCCCTCTTCCCCGACCTCGAAGCCCGGCTCTTCACCCCGCCCAACGTCGTCTCCGCCTCGGAGCACGCCCAGATCACCGCTCTCCTCCCATCCTTCCTAGCCTCCCTAAAGGCCCTCAACCTCGACCTGGCAGCCCTCCGCGCGCACGTCTCCAAACCCCTGCGGCCCTTTTGGGTGACCCAGGAGACGCAGCTGTCGTCTGCTTCGTCTGCCCACAACGTGAACGTGGTCTTTGAGGAGTACCACCCCATCATCTGCTGCACCTCCTCGCGCCGCGTCGCCGGCACGGAGATGAGCGAGGCAGGCTACATCCAGGGCGCGGGCGACGACACGGAGAACTGGGCCCTGGGCCTGACGGCCGAGGTATTTTGGGAAAATGTCACGGCCCTGCTCCGTTGCCCCGAGGCCGACCTCCCCGAGCTGGTCGTAAGCCTCGTCGCGGAGGACAAGCGCAATGCTCCAAGGGGTGTACAGCCAAAGGAAGTAGCGCCGCGGATCTTGGTCTGTCCGCTACCCCTGGCCGATGACGACGACGAAGGCGGTGCTGCGTTCGCGGCGGCGGCGGCGGCGGGTGGTGAATGCCGAGTCGCACTCACGCAAGACGTCACGCCGCGGGACTCGTGGGTAAAATCCCCGACGTACATGCAAGTCGGCCTCGGGAAGCACAAGGTCGCCAGTCGTAACCTCAGACAGGCGCTGCCAGACATTTGCGCCTTTGTCTCGCGTTATCTCGACTCACGTCGGGCTGCGGGCGCGGACGTGGACGCCGACGGCGCAGAGGAGGGCAGAGGCAGCGTCCTCGTGGCCTGCGAGACGGGCAAGGATCTATCCATCGGCGCCGCGTTGGCCATCTATTGCTGGTGCTTCGACCAGGACGGCAAGTATCGGGTGGCGGACTCTACTACGTTCTTCAACAAGGACATGATCCGGGTGAAACTCGGGACCATCATGACGGCCTTCCCGGAAGCCAATGCGAATAGGGCTACTTTGCAGAGCGTGAACAGCTTTCTCATGGACCACCGAAGATGAAAAAAATTCTCTCTTTACTAGGTAGTCTCGAGTCTACTTGGATTTGGCCTCTCCCTGAGCGACCTTGATGAGCGCCCGCGAGAACCGAAATGCTACCGGTTTAAAGCTAACGATATGAACATTGTAAAATTGGGGAGAAGATAATAAAGAAAGGGGTGGGAAGGGGGATCGAGGCATCATTCCTCTATATCGCCGCAGCTCACTTCACAGAGAAGGCGACGGGATAGGAACCCCGGCTAGTCAGGCGCTCCCGCTCTCAATCTTGGCCAGGCTGTCGGGGAACTCGCTCCAGTCCTTCATGACGACCACGGCGCCGGCGTCGCGCAGCACCTTTTCCATCTCGTCTTGCCTGTCAGCGGCGTAGGGGCCGACATAGCCGATGACCTTGATACCCGCGCGTGTACCGCTGAGGGTACCGCTCTTGGAGTCCTCGATGGCGACGCACTCCTCGGGCTTCTTGCCGAGCGTCTTCATGGCGTGCAGGTAGATGGCCGGGTCGGGCTTGCTGGTGGGTTTTGGCAGCGACGTGGCGGCGCTGAAGACGACGTCCTCGGCGAAATACTTTTCCTGGCCTACTTTCACGACGGACGCCCAGACGCGGCGCTTGGCGGACGAGGAGACGACGGACAAGGTGTGCTTGCCGCCCTTTTGGAGGGCCTCGAGCTGGTCGTCGACGCCGGGGCAGGGTTTGAGTGCGGCTTTGAGCTTGGCGATGACGGCGTCCTCCTCGCGGGTCACGTAGGTCTCGAGCTCGTCGGCTTGCAGCTCGAAGCCGTGGGACTTTGCGAGGCCGAGGAGCATGCCGCGGAAGTTTTGGCCGACAAACTCCTTGATGAGGGACTCGCCGGTGAAGCGCTGCGTAATGTTGCGCGCCTCGCAGATCTCATTGATGAGGTCAGCGCAGGCCTCAAAGGCGAGCTCCTCGGAGAGAACGAGGGTGTTGTCGCAGTCGAACAGGAGGGTGGTGATCTAGGCGGCGTCTCGTGTCAGTCACACCCGTAGTACTCGTCGGCTGGGAATTGTAGTATCATGAGAGCTTACCTGAGGCATGTTGGCGGTTATCTACAAAGAATCGGATGCTGTTCCGGAGGTGGGTGGAGAGCTGTATCGTGAAGAGCGGGGTCGATGAGCTGGGTTGAGACGGGAAAGATTGAGCTACCTGGAGGGGAAGCTTATTGTCCGAGACCAATTGACAAAGAAACCTAGATTGAATTGAGGGCGAGTTTTGCTTCAGGAGCCGGAGAACCATGCAATGGAGAGAGGGGGAGAAGAAGTAAGCTTATGAGTGAAATAGAACAAGATACCATCTATCTCCTAGGAAACCGAAAAGGGAATTGGATGACATTGGTCCTTCTTGCTTCCCGTCTATTTGCCTCACCCCCCACCCACTTTCTTCCTCCAAGTCGGCTGTTCGTTTTCGTCGTCCCGACGAGTCCAATGGGAATGACAGCCATCACAGAACCTGGGCCAGCTCTGCCGGGAAAATGGCCCTTGCAGCCCCCGAAAACACTTTGTTTGCCGTTCCGGCCTCCCTCTCCATCGACGCTCCGGGCCTGGGCTGGTGTGCTCAAGGTATTTTGGTACCTAGAATGAGGGGCCCCACCAACGTTTTTACCCCTCCCCCTCCATACCCACGGGCGCCCCATCCCGCCGTCCACTGGGTGCTGCCATTTCCCGCATGTGCAGTGTCGTCATTACCGCGGGGTCGAATACAACAAGGCCGCCTACTCAAGCTCGTGAAGGAACGACGGCGACCTGGGAGCCGGACCGCCAAACCAGGCTGGGTGCGCCACAGACTTCCCACCTACTAGATAACTCTTAATTTCTTGATCATGATAAGTTGATGATAATTTTAGTAGAGAAGATTAGACTCATCGCAACGTACTAATCCCCCGAAACTGACCCCGCACCCGCGCTTCATCATCCCGAACCCGCCAGCTCGAACCAGAGTTCTGCCGAGCAAAACCTGAGAAGAACTTCCGACTAAGCGTTTGAGGTGGAAAAAGAAATAAGGCTACATACGGGCGCATCCCAACCTGCTAATCTGAACCGCCATAATTTTCCGATCTTTTCCCCCTCTCTCCCACCGCGCCGCCCCGTTCCGTTCCTTTTACGCAGCCAAATCCAACCTTTGAAGAAGAAGGATGCTAGACGACCTCAGCCCATTCGTCACGCTTTCCTCGCAGCATCCATGCACCTAGGATAAAGCAAGGACGAAAAAATCCACAGTCTTTTCTGCTCTCACATAATCCATACACATCATCATTTGTGAGGCAGCACCACCCCACCCCACCCCGCAAGGAGAAAGCTCGCTCGGTCTTTGCGAAAGGAACGTGGATGTCACAGAGTACACACCATCCAAACTTACATTGCACCCATTCAAACTCGACGGCCCGTCAGCCGTAGTGCCGAGACCCTTCTTCTCCCGAGCTTAGGGAGGGGGAGAGAGCAAATAATCTGAGATGAGGCTGACGTCGGTCCCGAGATGCCCGACAAGTCGTCCAGTGTCGTCAGCGAAGCCAGGTTGTGAACCACCACTTCATGAAAAGCACCATCTGATCACAAGTTTCGAGTCAATGCAATGTTTAATGGGCTGATCCGGGCGTGTTGTTTGTACAGTTTCATATGCCTCATGCCCCTCTTAATAGATCTACCAAAAGTTGAATTCCCATCACCTGTGTTGGTAGTTATCGTGGCTCTGCAACTAGAAAAACTACCTCCATGTGGTCACTTCTCAATCACAAATGTCATGGTGGCTCAAGTACGGTCGTATCAAAAAGTCTCAAACTTGAATTATTTCGTATCTAAGTACTTCTGCGCAGGCATCACCTCATAACAATACTCATTCTGTGTTGCCTGCTCATGATATGCTCAATGCTCAAAGGGAACAATAGGCCAACCCAGCAGCCTTTCGGCAAAAGGAAAAGGGGGAAAAAAACCACCAAACGCGCCCTAAACTCCTATTCATGATGAGCATCCAGCCCAGAACCCAAAGATCGTCTTGTTTGCGGTCAAACGCTATCGTCTTGGTGTCGTTACTACGCCAAGACCACCATTACTCATTTGCTACAAAACACTTCACAAAATCTCCTTCAACTTCTGCTTCTGAGCCGGCGTTAAGCTCGTGGGGAACTTGACGTTATACTTGATGACAAAGTCACCCCTCGTTCCGGGCTTCTTCGAGATGGGCATGCCGAGGCTGGGGTACCGATCGGAGCTGCCGGGTTGTGTGGGGCCGTTCTTGTCGAGGTTCAACTGCTTGCCGTCGATTGTCGTCACCGTCCGCTTCCAGCCCGTGAGAGCCTCCTTCAAGTCCAACTCGACGGTGTGAACCAGATCGTTGTCTTCGCGCACAAACAGCGGGTGGGCTTTCTATAATGCTTGTTAGTATCGCGATGCCTCTTGAGTATTGCATGGGATGGGATGTGGTCTTACCTCTTCCAAAATGAAGTGAAGGTCCTGCTGGCCACCCTCTTCCTGGTCGCCGACGCCCTTGAACTTGATCTTGCTGCCCTTCTTCAGGCCCGGTTTGATGGGCACCTCGAGAACAGTGTCGGTCGTCGTCCTCTTGCCCGTGTCGTCAAATGTCTTGCGCTTAATCTTCATTTTTTTCGTCACGCCACGGAACAGCTCCTCCAAGGTGAGCGGGAGAGGTCTTTCCACCGTCGTGACCTCGGGCGTTGCCTCCCTCGCCCGCGGCGAGTCACCGAACCCGCTGCTGCGCATTCGCTGTGATCGACCGCCGTGTGGGCCACCGGCACCGCCAAACGTTGAGAAAATGTCGGAAAAGTCGTCCATACCACCACCGCCCATACCACCGGCACCAGAGCGCATGAACCTGGCAAACACGTCGTCCGCCGGGCTAAAGTTGAATCCGCTGTTGCCTCCTCCGGTGCTGAAGCGGAATGTACGTGCGCCGCCGCCGGCGGGCATGCCCCCTCCTCCAAAGTCGAATCCACCGGGCATGCCACCCTCGGCGAAGGGGTTTGCGCCACCGGCATCCGGTGGAGGGGCGCCGCCGCCGCGGAGCAGGAACTCGAGACCATAGTCGTCATACGTCTTGCGCTTTTCGGGATCGGAGAGGATCTCGTATGCCTGGGAACACTCCTTGAACTTTTCGGCGGCGTCTGGATTATCCTTATTCTTGTCAGGGTGGAACTTTAGTGCGGATTTCCTGCACACGTGAGGTGGTTAGCAAGTTGGGTCTCAAAGGTCGTGTGTGGAGATCAAGGGCGATTGGGCCACGCCGTTGGGCAACGACGGGTGAAGACCAGGGAGGGGCAGAGAGAGTAAAAAAAATCATTGAAAGCTATTGCGACTTACCGATAACCCTTTTTGATTTCATCTTGCGTCGCCGTGGGTTTGACGCCTAGTTGATCGTACAGCTTGGTTTCTTTCACCATTGTTCGAAACTGTCGGGGATTGTCGTGTATAGTCGATCAGTCAAGTACACGGATGAGTGGTGTGGATATCGCCGCGAATATGAGTTTTGATCGCTGATACTGTAGAGTCGTGTGTCACTTTGGGTGTTAAGTCTGAACCCTTGAAAGTGTTTTGCTTGCAGTCGATCGACGTGCGTGTGTGAAAAGCAAAGAAAGAGTTGGGAGTTTTTAAAAAGAGGAATTGAATAGAATGGTTGGATGATGCGGCCAGCCGTTTGGGTGCTTGGGTGCATGATATGTATATATGCAGTAGCCACAAGAAAAAGAAGGCAGCTAATAAATAGTACACTACGTAAGGCGGGTCCTTACAGCGCAGGGTAAAGCCAAGAAAGACTGGGTCACCGAGGGGAGCCCAGAGCGTCTAGTGGTAGAAACGGCCCCCCGGCCGTCTTCAATGGAAGAAACAGGGCGCGGTTGTGGAAGGTTCGGTGCTCGTCTCTCAGTCTCAGAGGGGCCCAGGACAGGGCAGGGGGTGGAAGGGGAGGGGAGCCTTGACCACCGTCCCCGAGCGACTTTGCGACCCAAAAACCTGGCGGGGCGTCGAATCGGGTGATCTCACCCGAGCTGCCTCGATGGAAGAGCACAGAAGGCTGGCTGGGGCCCGTCTAACCAAGAGTTTAGTCTGACTGGTGTCTGATCCAAATATATTTACCTCTACCTATGTAGTATGGAAGCATGCGGTAAATGGTCCCCGGAGATTCAATCAATGTCATCTTCATTCCAGGCGAGTATCGGCAATCAGAGAGCTCGTCGGATAGCAGGGAAGCACTTGCAAACCGCGCCGCCCAAATCGACAATGACGAAAATGGCGGGGTCTCTTGCCGTGCGGGAATGGCGGAGTCAGGCTCATGCCGTGGCTCGAGCGCCGAAACAAGACACCCCATCCCTGCAATGCCACTCAATCTCTCCTACTTGAATAAGAAGCTTCGAGAAGCTTCTACGCAGTTATCCGTAACATATGACAGGCCTCCACGCTCGTCAACTTCGTGTAGGCACTAGAATCAAACAAACCAAGATAATGGGGTATCAAATAATTGATATTTCATCGCTTACGGCATATATCGTCATCATATACATGGCAATGCCGTGTTGCGCTGAGCTGGAGAGCAGTCGAGGAGCACATGCTGCTGCTTGCTGCATTGCATGCCTCTCAGACTTGTCTGCATCGCTATGCCTTTGCGAGTCTTGTACCAAAATGCCTCCTGTGATGCTCTCTAAACTGCATGCTACTGATGCTCGTCGGGAATTTCCATGTCCATCATTTTTATCGTCTTTTGCTCATCTCTTGGGTCGTGTGCCGTTCCGTAAATCGAGTGTCTAGCCATGAATGGCGATCCGGCCCCGCTTCCGCTCCGTTCCTGCATCTCGGGTCCCTTGGCCGGCTCTTCAAGGTCTGGTGTCACTGTGCGACTAATCTCAGTAACGTCGTCGGTCGGAGCATTGGCCGATAGCCGTGGGTCCTGGCCAATGCCGGTCGATTTGGTGCCGTAACCTCGTGCCTTGTCTTGCGTCTCACTAGAGTACATGACCTGGACTAGGCTCTGGTCTTGCGTCTCTGTGTTACCTTGTCTTGCTGCCAGATCGGTCATCTCCGTGTCCATGGTGCCGTCTCCGTCGCCAAAGGGATCCGTTTCAATCTCGAAATCCCCGGCGCGGGAGTTTGTATCGCTGTTCCCCAACGAAGCTCGATTAGTTGCCATGGAGTCGACGCTGCCCGACCGATATTTCCTCTTGGACGGCGAAATTGGTGACATATTCGTGTTTCTCAGGTTCGACACTTCGTCCGTAGTTTCCTGGTTCAGTTCCTGCCTGAAAATCTTGTTCTCAGCCTTGGCGAAACGTAAAAGGGCGTCGGAAAGAGGTGCCACAGGTGTGTTGATTGCATCTTCTGTAGCATACACGAGCAACGGGTTCTTGGTCTCAAAGTAGATTGCATCCACCACTTGCTGGAAAGTGTATTTCTGTTGCAAGTCAGCGCCCGAACCAAGTCAGATAGAATCACGTTGCAACTTTGCTTACCTCGGCCTTTGCATATTGCTTGGCACTATACGACAAGCGCCACCACTGATCTACCGAAGTCGGTGTCTCGTCAATGTCTATGAGTGTCGGCTCGGCTCGCCTGCAGACATATGTCACGTTCTGCTGTGTTGCTATTCCCCTCAAGAGGTACTTCTTGCCGGTGAAGGGCTTCCTCAAGCCTGGCTTGTCAGGGTCTGTGAGTAGAGCATTGAGGTATTGCTTCCTTTCCTCAAGCCTCTCACGTTCCCACTTGAGTTCTGCTTCCCGGATTAATCATTGGCAAACATGGGAAATAGGTGGCTCGACATACTCTGCTGTTTCTCCTTGACTTGAGCAAGCTGCCACTTGCATCTCTGGAGCACCTTTTGCGAGCTTTTGAACAGTTCTTCTTCAGCTTCAGACAAGACGCACGGCACATCTTCCAAACGGATATTGCCTTGCTCATCGTCATCCGACTTTCGCAGCTCTCTAAACCGCCCCAGGCCATCCAAGTAGCGCACGTGGCTCTCGTACTCTTTGATCGTCTTTTCAAGCATTTCCTCCTTGTTGTGAACCTTGTCCGTCTTCGGATCAATCCACTTGGTAAGCTCGAACTCTTTGGACTCTGCTTCGTAGAGCATCCTATGCACCCAAGCAAGGTGTTCTTGGCAGATCTTTGCCTCTTCTTTTCGACTCTCGAGATAGCGCTCAGGATACCACACTTCGGGAATGTCGAGTTTCTCGGGTGTGCCATCGCCGTCAATAACGACCGTCATGACCTCGCCCATGTCATCGAGAACAACCATTCCGGTATCTGCATTGAGCTCCAGCCACGTCATGACGTCGTGCCACACAATCCAGTTCCACGCCTCGTACAGAGTCGTCGTCTTTTCATACTGGCTTTTCGTCAACTCGAAATTCAAGAATGCAAATCTTTGTGGATCTTGAGTCTTTTCCAGTGTGCCCGTAGACATGGGGCATGCCAAGTGCGTCAGGGGTTTGATGACATCGGCATCAGTCTTTTCTACGAGTGTGTCAAAGAACTGTCTCTCTGTTGCGAAGGTGGTTTTGGGAACCAGATCGGCCATGGAATCGATAGACCCGTAGCTTCTCTCGGTCAGATCTAGAAAGGCCATCAGGCGATGAATCTCCTCATGAAAGTCTGGTTTCGTGTCTTCGGCCCACAGAAGCTCGCCTTGGCTCATGGCGGCAAGGACGTGAGGAGCATAGATCGGTTGACCTTTCCACCATTCGCTGTTGTGGCCATAACTGGCGGCTTGTTCGCCACCCTGCAGTAGGATATTGCGTGCAAGGGGAATCTCATGCAGAATAGTTAACACAGAATCTAGATGGTGCTTCGACGTGCGTGCCGTGGTTCTCTGGACCAGGAACGCCGGAGCGTCTTCCTCTCGCTTTCTCGCAGAAGGTGCGGGATCGTCGTCGACTGTCGTCTGGTAAGAGCTCGTTGCGGTTGTCACCATGGCCCAACTGTTCTGATCATAGTCAGACCGGTTGGCAGGTCCAAAATGCGGGGCGTTGGCGCCGCCGCCCGTGACGCCGGCTTCCTGAGGTACGTAGTCTGCGTCCCGTTGGGAGTCACGAATAGCCCGGTTGTAATCATCCTCTTCTTGCGCAGCGGTACTAGGGGCTCCTAATGTCCATGGTTAGCCAAAGCCCCATACAACAGGGAAGGCAGTACCGGAATGGTCCCCGGTCGTCCAGTCAATCATCCTACCAAGCGGCGATCGATTATTTGTTCTCGATGGTGGTCGTGAGGGCGCGCCTGCGGAAGGCCCGTAGAAGCCGTTGTCGGGCGGAGGGATAACGCCTTGTATGACGGCATTGTCGGGCGCTTCGATGTTGAAAGCTGAGCGGCAGAGTCAGCAACACGATGTCTCTAGCTGCTGGAGTGTACAGTCAACGCACCTATCCCAGTGTGATTCGGCTCTCCTTCGCGACCCGCCCCAAACGCTGTGTCATCCCAAGTGTACTTTCTCCGAAACTAGGCTCGTTAGCTACAACAATGAGCTCTTTGACCAGGCATTACAGACCACATCGACTCCATCTATCAAGACCTCTGACGCAAGCTCATCCCGATTGCTGTTGCTCTATGTTACACATCAGCCATTCTGTCGGCAGGATAGACTTCGCGCGTGTCCTCCCGCCGCAGCTTTCTCACCTTGAGTGCTGTGATCACGATGTTGCGGTCTCTCGCGGGGTCCAGTCCCGAGAACTCGAGAAAGTTGTCAACATCCTCTGCCGTTGGATCGGGCGCCATGTTGTAGAGCCACCCCTCAGTCGTTGCCGAATCGAATCGTTTTGAATGGGTCGATTAGAAGCGATGGTGGTGGAAGGATCGAGGGTTGCGCATGGCTATCGAGAAAGACGGACTCGAGTCGCGGGTGGCCTGGCGCATATAGCTAAGCCAGAGAATGGAAGAGACTCGGAAGGATGATGTCAAACGGGATGGACCCGGCGTGCTGCGAGACTCGACCGGCCTAAGCGTGCTGCTATCCGTACGGGTGTGGAAGAAGGTCGGAACGGAGCTCTTAGCAACAGAGGGAAGCAGTGCCGGCGCAGTTTCGATCTCACCCCGTTCGTCTTGTCGTCAGATCTTGTCAGGACACCTCACGTTGGATTTGGCAAGGTAAGTGGAAGCAGCAACCGAGTACGTAGACCCGTGCTGGGAAGGCCCCATGAGCTGCCCTGCCGGCTACTTTGACGTGGACAGTGCGTCTAAGCGTCGCTGTTAAGACACTTGCATTCCCCACTATCTGCCGTTACCAGAACTCTTTACCGTCAAAGGCTCCCCGGGAGGCCACAACTGATTACCAAGGTAGTATCGAAGGGTGTATAGACATTTCTATCATTTGATTAAGGTGGTCATAATAAAGATTATCATTATTAGATCTTTCTTCCTAACGAGTAAGGTAGTGGAAGAGTCATAGATTTAATAACCCTTGTGGATGTTGATGGTGTTAGACGGGCAAGTTTACACTTTAGACTCTTTAGGGAGCTGAAGGATAGGGAACGGCGTGCACGTTAATGGTCACTGCCAGCCCAATCCTCGCCAGCAACCTAATGTTGCACCAATGGGCCGGCAACTGGACAGTATCTACCAACTACCAGTAGGTACGACAGGTTGACCGAGAACGTCAAAACAAGTTTGATCATTCCGGTCAGCAGCCGCATGTGTTTTCTCAGACAATCGAGCCGTGCTAGATTACCTTGGAGTGGCACATTCTGCAATTTTTCAGTTATGAAGTCATTGGTTGGTCTATATGCGGTATCTCGTGCGTCGTCCTGGCTGCTAGTTTTGCCAAGCAGCCGCCAAACTATCGAATTCCGCCCCCGCTGATTCTCTGTTATTACAGAGCCAATTATGAATTCCCTTATCCCTATGTGGAAGGCCTTCCCAGAAGCCCTCCTCAGAGATCCAATGATGCCAGACCCGTAAAAACAATACGCCGTGTTAGCCTTAAGTAGGCTGTGCCGACAGCCGGTAAAACGCCCGGGGCCGTCGCTATGCATCATTATGCGTGTAGAAAGAGAGATGGAGAAGATGGAAGAAATGGAAAACCGGTCCACCGCAAACGCCGCTGCCGCTGCCAAGTTCAGAGTGCCTGCCGAAGGGTGTTTGCTGTTGGTGTCGCAGGTTCAAGTTGGAGCAGTAGTAGTATGCTGAGTCGAGTCCCATGTCCGAGGTCGGATTCAAGGCTTATCGTCGTCCGCGTCCGCGTCCGCGTCCTCGTCTTCATCGTCCTCGTTATACTCATCCATGTCAAAATCGCTGTCGCTGCCGCCCAAGTCGAAGTCACCCTCATCGTCCGTCTCATTCCAGAAGGCGTCGTCATCCATTGTCTTTTGAGGCACAGGCTCTAGGTCAGCCGTCGTGGGGAAAGTCACACCCGGAGGCATGTCTTTCTTGGACTTCTCGACCGTCTCTTGCGCTCTCTTCTGGTATTCAGGACGCTGATCGCGATACAGAACGCTGGCATCCACATTGGCAGGAGAGTTGATCTCGGGGTCGTCCAGAAGGAGCAGGACAGAGCGCAAGACCGACTCAACGCCTTGGAGGGGAGACCAACGCTCACAGGCCTGCTCACCAGACTGCTCGTCTTCGCCGGGGGTATGGAGGATGGAGATGCAGAGCTTGCCATCGGTGTAGATGTTCGGGTGGTAGATGTTCTTGTTGAGGAAACGGAAAGTGGGCGGCTGGTACGGGTAGTCGCGAGGGAAAGTCATCTCAGCCTAGAATATGCAGTGAGCATTATGCTTTCATTGCGTGCTGGGAGAGATCAAGCAAACCTTCAAATAGCCTCCATTGAAGGCACTGTCAGGGTTGACAACCATGAGGCCAATCTTCCAGCACATGACATTTCTCTCGTCGACGTCAATGTGAACCCATTTCTCCTTCTGCAGGGTCTGCAGCTCGCTCATCAACCGCTTCTGCGCCATGGTGTCGGAGTATTTGTAACAGTGGGTGAGGTGGCGGTAGGTACAGCAGGTAGGAAAGCACAGCGTCGCAGGGTATTGGAATGAAGTTGGAGCGTTGGGATCGATGTGTCGCAAAGAAGATGTGGTATGTGACGGGAGTATGCAATTGTGCACACACACAGCAGTGATAGAAAAGGGCACTCTTGTGGGTGGGCAGTGAGGAAGGCGCACTGCAAGTTCTCACAAGAGGCGTGTGACCGGGGAGAGGAAGCGACGATGAGGCGGGATGGAGGGGCGAAAGGGGATGACTCGATAAAGCACCGAACTGACTCGGAGTGGGCGGCAGGCGATAAGATAAAGGGAGGGGCCGCAGTGGGAAGACCTGTGAGAGTGTGAGAGTGGTAGTGTTTTGGCGGTGAGGTTAGGTTGGGTCCAGAGAGACTTTGTGCTTTGAGAAGGCCAAGAACGAAATTGAAGGAAGTCGCGATGCAAAAGAGATTGTCCCTATTCAAGGAAATCAGCCAGCCAAAGTCAAAAAGGGCTGATCAGGGTAAGGTATAGCAGGTGGAAGGAGGCAAAGTCGCCGAGGTGCCCCTTCGCGATTTATCAAGGTTACGTGCCGTAGACCGGAAACTGCCTGGACAAGTTGGGTCAGGTCAAATTGAGGCACCATGGGACCAAGAGGCACCCAAGATGGCTAGACCAACTAGGGACATCAGGGAGGTCACGCAGTGTCTCGGATCCGTGGCCAGCTCCAGGCCGGCACCTGTCCTTGCTGTCCCGTCCTTGGCCCTGCTCCTTGTCTGCCGTCGGTTGCCTTTGCCTCTGTCCCCTTGTCTGGTCCTTGGGCAGGGCAGGGCAGCTGGAGACTTTGCGCAGAAACCCACCTCGGTCACATCACCCATGCAGGCTTCAGTCAAGCACCTCAGCCAGAGACACTGCCCCCAACAGGCTTTCACCAAAATCTCTTGTTCTGCTCTGCTAGCATGATTGCTGTGTCATCTTTGTATGTGCTTACTCGACCACCGCCCCTCCAATCTTCAACCCACAGCCAAAGGGAACACTCTCTGTAAAGGGGCTGGCTCAGGGAGGGCTCTTGACTGGTCCGGACTCGCCATGCACCTCACAGGCACTGCCAGGTTTCTCTTTGTTGTCTGTGCATCTCAGCCAGTCACCCACATAGGCACAGACAGCACTTATACCTTGGTATCCTGATACCTTCGAGGGCATCTATTGTCTCCCAGGGGCTGCCCGAGGTGACTAGGGACATCCATATGAGCTACGAATATAGATGCTTGAGAAGCCCATCAAGATATCCACCCTCTGTCATCTGCCATCAAGGTATTCGTGGGTACAGATTGGTAATCAACTCCCTCCAGAACCAGCTGGTCAAGTACCAACCCCAAAATATCTGTTTCGGTATCTGACCGGGAGTCTTTGTCCTCGCATAACGACCCAGCACGTATCCCCTAGCAAAAAGGCGTCACAGTAACCAAGTTGACCCCAGATAAACTCAAAGCTCATGGTCCGATCGTCCCGACTCAGCCATGCAAACTTGCAGAACCCACGTCACACAAGTCACCGCCGTAGCATCGGACCCCTGCTTCTGCCGGTTGGGTTGGTCTGTCTCGAGCCTCACCACCACACGCCAATGGACACTTCATTAATCAGACTCGAGCCAAACTGAAGCCTTCAAAACGAATTTTTTTTTTCCAAGTGATGGATTTGTTTTCTATATTTATATGCTTTTTAGGGCCGCCCGCCACAGCTCACCCCAGGTGCCGGCGCATCTACTACGCTCCCAGATCATAGTAGACACAATTCCCAGTCCGGAAGTTATACAGAAACGAGTGCCGGCTGCCGCTCTTTTTCTCCCACGCCCACTTCCAATTCAGCAACATGTCGTGTATCTCCCGTACATACTTCTTCTCTGCCGTCGTGACGCTGTGCTCGACCCTGCGCCAGCTCTCCCCGTCCGACAGGCACGTGTCCCGGATGATGTCCATCACCTGATCCGTCGTCTCAATGGCCAGGATCGGCCCGTCGAGGAACGACCGGACCAGGCTGGCAGCGCTCACCTGCGCCTGCTCCACGACCGTCCTGCGATTGAACTTCTTGCTCCTCGTCCCCGCGACCAGCACGCGCACGTCTTGCTCCTGGTGCGTCTCAATTGTCACGTTGGTCTCGGCCTGCTGCCCGCCGCCTCTCGACTTGACCGCGGCCTTGTACTCCTTTGAGTCGCGCTCCCGGATCTCGGCTCGCAGCCACGAGAGCAGCTGCGCCATGGGTATGTCGACGTCCGGCGTGTCCTTCTTGTCCATCGTCTTTACCTTTAGAATGGCATCTTGCTTGATGATGATGACCCAGGAGTAGCCCTCGTCACGATTGCGGGAGAGCAAGTCTTCCGGAGACCGCGCATCTCTCGCAAGCTCAGCGCTGACATTGTGCGACCACAACGTCTGCAGGATTTCTATTCCCGTAGAGCGCAGGACGGCGGCGTCAAAGCTGGCCACGAGGGCATCACACTGTGAAATATCGTGAGCAACTAAACCAAAAAGTGAGGAAAACCGATGACATACTCTCTTGGTGCTGGTGAACATGTTGTGACCTTCTTCTTCTGACTTCTTGAGAAACGCTTTCCCGCTGCTCTTTGGGGTCCTTGAAAGCTTCTCCCACGACAGATTGAAACCAACGGCGTGGCGCTCTTCGTAATGGCTGCCAATCCTGGGACGGTTCTCCCTAATGAGGCCGTCGTATCGGCCACCCGCGGCAAAGACATCCTTCATCTTCTTGTCATAGAGGCAAGAGAATAGAGTTCCGCCGGTATAGAAGCTCTCTTTCAGACTGTTCAGTGGCATGACATATATCTTGCTCGTAACGCCGAGTCGTTTGGCATACTCTGAGACCTCTCTTAGATGCGCCAGGGTCGAGGAAGCTCGCTGGTACATATCAGTACCTTCGAAGAGCGTCTTGAGCTTGGAGAAGGCCTTGGACGGTGTATCTGAAACCCATTAACTTTTTGAATCAAGAGGATAAAATGAAGCAGGCGCCGACATACCTCGGAAGTCGAATCGCTGTAGCTCATCAACACTGGTTGCCGAAAGACCAACCAGAGGAGACCTTAGCTGGGCTCTGATCTTCTGCCATGACCAGTGGTGGATATTGAGTTTGCTGAGCACGTCTGCCACAGCTCTGCGAGAGCCATGTTCGACGCGACAATAGTCGAAGATCAGCTGCAACAAGTCGGAATGTCCTAGATGGAAACACATCTGGCTCGAAGACAGTGACGGGAATGTCCCAATAATTTCGTCGAGTACTTTGAGGACCTCGGCTTCTTTCAGGGCCAAGTCAAGGGTGTTGGTCGTGACAATGTCAAAGTCAACTTCGCCCAGCATATAGGGTTGCCCAGTGTCTCCTTTATCGCGAAAAATGTTTCCAAAAGTGAATGTGCGCTGGACACCTGGAGTCCCGCTGGCCTTGGCAAGCATTCTTGCGTGGCCCATCGTGAGATCGAACGGGAGCTGCAGGACGGTGCCATTCGAGTCTAGGAGCCTCATGACGTTCTCGGCATAGTGGGAAGAACGTGGGTAAAGGCATGTGCGCTGACACTCCAAAGCTCCATGTCGGCGAAAGATGGAAATCAGTGTTTCCTTGACGATACTTTGGTTGAGCAAGTCTGCCTGGCTGGGGCTCGTCTCATGCATGTCCCAAGCGTAATCTTTGGCTTGCTCCAGGGGTCGGGAGAAGAGTGTGGAAAGCATCTTCTTGTAGTACGGCGAGCTGGGGTCTGCTAGACCAGCCAGTGTTCGTCTGATGGTCTCGCTTTCCATTTGTACGGGAAGCTTTCCACTTTGCAGCAACTCTGCACTTGATGGTCGTTCTTTCGGATTGTGAGTGATTAGAGACAGGACAATATCCGTCTGTATCTTCTCAGCAGGCTTAAAATCCATGGGAAGTTCGGGACTGGGTCGACGGAGCTTCTCAAGGACTTCTGCTCTTTGCATGCCCAACATCGGCGGATAACACATCTCGAAGAAAATGATACCCAAAGAGTACATCTGGACAGTGTCAGCGCCATGACAATGAACACACCACATAATGATTTGCGCAGGATACTTACGTCCACTTTAGAGCTATACATTCCGCTAGATCCGGAGCGCACTTCTGGCGCAGCGTACGACGTGGTCCCGATACTTCTGGTAATATCGTCCGACTCCATGGCATTGGGAAGAGCCCTGTCAACCGCAAACTGGCCGCTTGTGGCCAACCCGAAGTCTCCAATCTTGACATTGTCCGTTCCATCACTGCTGTGAGCAATGAAGACATTTTCAGGCTTTAGGTCTCGATGGACGATACTCAGGCCATGTATGTGGGCCAGACCCTCAAGTACCTGGCGGAAAAGACGCCAAATTTCCGCTGCGTTTTGGTAAAGTTTCCGAGTAATCAGATCGCGTAATGTCTACTGTTGTCAGTCTCCCCAGTGCAGACGGCGTAGTTTGCGCGGTAGATACTTACCCTCTTTTCGCAGTACTCCATGGAAATATACAGGACAGTTCTGAAAGACCGTTGAGGCCTGATTTTTCGTTGAATTTCCTTGCTCCTTGGACCGTTTCCAATAACCTCGCTACTATCGTCGTCACCTGAGTCGCTTTCATCTTCGGAGCCTTCCTCGTAATCTTCTTCGTCTTCTTCGGATTCATCTTCAGCGTCCGAATCGTCGTAGCCGAATTCTACTTGGGGGTAGCCGCTCGACGACATGAAGTCCAAGCCGCCGGTGCTGGTTGCAAAATGGATTGCCGGGTCCTGTGATATCGTGTCGCGAGAGTCTTCCGTGTTCAGATCTTCCGTGGAGGTGTCACCCTCCGTGTCAGACTGATCAGGCATCTCCTCCACCCAGGTGTTATAGTAGCGCACCACAGCTGGGTGACTGAGCTGGGATAGTAAACGGACTTCTTTCAGAATTTCTGTCAAACTTGCTTGGGATCTTTGGCTGATCTTCTTGATGGCATAAATCTGCCCGTCAAGCTTCTTCCGGGCTTTGACCACCTCGCCGAATCCGCCTTTACCAAGACGGCCCTCCTCATCAAAGTCCTCACGATATCTCGACGAAGTGAGAGTTCTATTCGTCGACTCGCGTCTCAATCTCGGAGGTATTGGAGACAGTGCATTTACGGAAAGATAGTTCGACGCGATTGAAGCGTTATCCTCGACTATCACAGGAGCGTCGGTGGCGAGGAACTCGCTGGAGCCGAGTTCAAATGCACGCGGTCGTTTCTTGGGGTCCGGTTTGAAGAATCTGGTTACCAACTCCTGCAAAGGCCGCGATAGAGACATGGAGTCGGAGACAGCAGAGGGTGAATGGTATTTTTGAGGCACGTCAAGTCCAAATATCATTTGAAGAAAAACGATACCAAAGTCCCACATGTCCGTCTTTTGTGTATAGTGCTGCTTCGACAAAGCGGCAGTCTCTGGCGGCAGCCAATATGCAGACTTTGCAGAACTCAAACCAATTGGCGCCTGTCCCTTGGATGAGATGTTATGCAACTCCCTCTGGTAGCCCGCGTCTGACAGCTTCGGCACGACTTCTCCCGTCTGTTCCCGGAAGAGTAGCACGTTCCCTGCATGAATGTCCTGATGGACCAGGGACTTGTTGTGCAAGAAGTTGAGAGCATCTAAGAGATCCCGTGTCCAGGCACGCACCTTGCTGGTATCCAGCTGGCCAGCCAAGTCGAGTAATTCAGCCAACGATCCCTTTTCAGCGCTGGGCGTGAGAACATTGACAGTCCAGAGGCTGGCCGATGCCTTCTCGGCATTGTTCTTCTCGCGCTCTACCTTGAAGTCCAAGACCTCGAGCAAGTTTCGATGACGCACTTGCTTGAGCGCTTCCAGCTGACCTTCGAGTGACTGGATTTGCTTCTTGAATAGCGAAGGGTCCTTTGAAGCGGGACGGAGAACAGTTTCTTTGAGTGCCAAGTTGGGGCACTCTTGTCCGCTGCCGACGAGAGGCCAGACGGAGAAGACGGTTGATAGGGGTCCTTTGGCAATCTCGGACTTTCCAAAGACAGCCTGGAAGGAAATGGCATTTCCAGTCTTGTCAGTCGTCTGGCAAGGTCTGTCAAAGATTATGCGGCCACTTTCGGGCCAGTTGGCGCCGTCCATTGCGTTGAGAGATGGTAGTCCGTTGGGGCGATTCTTTTTTCGGGTCTCCTTGGCTTTCTCTTTCTGACGCTTCAACTCAACCTGCAACAAGCCACCGAGGACCCTCTCCTCCTCCTTGCTCTCCTCTTCCTTCTTGCGCTCCTCTGCCTGTTTCTGTTCCTCAGCTAGCTTGGCCAACGAGGCCTCGTGAGCCGCTCTCTCCTCTTCTAGCGAAGGCAACTCGAGTCCCTTGGCCTTTGCCTGGGCTGCGTCTTCGAGAATGTCTCTGAGTCCCTCTACGATACGGTCCACCATCTCTTGCTCCTCGGTGGCGAAGATCTTGGGCTCTGTCTCGAGGTACTTCTGAAGCTTGAACAGGGTGACCTCACGCAGGTCGCCAGTGTTCTTCAGTGTAAGTAGCGGTGGACTTCTGGGGTATGTAGCAGTCATCACCACGCCCAGAGTAATGGCAAAGTCTTCATCTGAGGAAGCCCTGATGCGAACATCAAACGAAGGGTCTGATTTCTATTTTGTGCGTCAGCATCGCCTCCTCTTCAACGAAGCCTTTTCATGCTGAGAAGGGAACGACTCTATCATTACCTTCCAAGCACCCGGCGTCTCTGCATGCCTCACGAAATCCTCTCCATAAATGGCTTCGAGGGCGATGAGCTCGTTCTGCTGAAGTTCTTCATATTCCAATTTGGGGGCAGCCTCGGGACGCTTTGGTTTGAGTCCCGGGAAGCTTGAGTCATCTTCGTTTTTCTGCGGTATGTCGACGGGCTTTTTCCACACCCCGGATGATTTCCACGCCATATCGAGGACGACGAGAAAAGGCTTGACGAATCACCACAGCGCGAGCCGTGACAATCCGTTACGGGAAAGCCATGATGGTGAGTTGAGCAATGTGGTATTCAAATATAGGAAGATATGGATGGAGAAGAGCTAAGAGAAAAGAGGACGGAAAGACAAGCGCAGGTCTAGCCGATGAAGGCGCTGCACCGCGACCATCGACCGCTGGCGGCCTGGTGCGCTGTCACAGTACGGGCGGCACCTTCACCTCCAGCTGGGTGCCTGCTTTACAGCTACCAACCTGGAAGTGGGGGTGGCTTTGGGGCGATGACTGCCCCTCAATGATGACGCCCGCCGTCTTAGTGCCTTTTTCCAGTGGGCCAAGACGCCTAAAGCTCTGGAGAAGCCTGAGACGAGGGGTAGGCGACAGCGGCGTGCAGTACACGAACCGTCTTTCAGCACTGTGTGGGTCCAGCGGCCGAACCACGGACGCGCCGTCCGTATGCGGTAAGAAAGTAAACAACTGAGAACCACATCTGTTCGCCGCGGTCAGATCACCAAAAACTGCAAACTAATTAATACCTGACCCGCCAGGACACGAGCGCATGTGATGCGACCTCGCCAAACGGACTCCGCGCAACCTCAAACACCATCGATCCGCGCGCACACATCCACTGGCACGACGAACTTCCTCCATCGATAAGAAGCCCACAAGTAACCTAGGATGTTAGGCTGGGTTCTTCGACGAGGGTTGGAGGGCGCGTCGGGGGGAAACAGAGGAAACGCAGGCGCAGGTGAGAAGACCAGCCAGATCAACCTTCTTTTTTTTTCCACCGAATCGTGCGGCTTTTCTGACTTCTCGGCAGACGACACAACGCAGATTGAGCAACCAGACACGCCCGCACCGGTTTTTGCTGCTCGCGCACTCAAAAGCGCCATCTTTGGAACACCCGCACGACCTGACGACGACAACACTGCCAGTATGGCGCGTCGCAAAGACGAAGACGACTCTGACGCCGAGTCCCGAACCCCGATGAAACAACCACAAGGAATTCTTCTTACCCCAGGTACTGGAACATCTCGGCGGAAGCGTGTGTCGTTTGGGCACGACGTGTTAGACAATAAGAAGGCCGACAACAGAAAAGCCAAAGAAGTAGACATTGACGAACGACCTGGAAGGTTCCCAGACAGCTTCGCGGACACAAGCAGTGACTCCGCAAGCAAGCGCACCAAATTAACCGTGACAATGGAAAACTCCCGACGCAACAAAGGAACTTCGAGCTCGCGGGAGAGGAGCCAGACACGCACCACCACAGCTAGAGGCGACGATGCGGAGGACGAATGGGAGGAAGCTGACGACGACCAGTGCATGCACGATATCACAATGGATCTTAATGAGCCCCATTCGCGGTCGGGCAAGTACTGGAAGTCGGAATTCGAACAATATCACCAGGACGCTAAAGCCGAGATGGAGAAATTGCTCAAGTACAAGCAACTAGCCAAGTCGTATGCCAAAATGAAGGACGCCGAGGCCATCGACCTGAATGCCAAACTCAGAGAGGAGCAAGAAAAGGCTGCCAAGATGGAGAAGAAGATCTCCGAGATGGCGGCGCAGATTGCCGCGAAGCAACGAGCGAGCGGCGAAGAGAGGGATAACCCCCAGCTCATGAAGGATTTGGCCAAACAGACTGCCGTGGCTGTCGAGTACCGGACGCAAGTGCAGGAACTAGCGGCTCTATTAGAAAATCGCGACAATGGCGACGACGATGAAGGGGATGCACGAAGCAGGCGTAGGCGCCAGGCTGCCTCGCCACGAACGCACAAGACCTTGCTCGAGACCCAGCGAGAATTGAGAAAGGCCAGGGCACAAGTCAAGGAGAATGGGCAGCTACGGGAGGAAGTTGAACGGCTAAAGTCCGACCTCCTATCTGCTGAGCAACGAGCAAACAAGCTCGCTGAAGAAAACAAACGACTGGCCGAGCAACAACCCTTACAGAACAATGAGCAAAGCAAGGAAGCCCCAACATCTGGAAAGCTCGTGGACGAGCTGGAGCAGGCAATTCGGAGAAAAGACGACGAGATACGCAAGTTGAAGTCGGAGTTCGAGGATTACAGGACGGACGCTGAGGCCACGCAAGAAGATACGCGGCGCATCTTGGAGAAGGCAACAGAGAAGATCAACGAGCTTAAGAGGGAAAACAAGACTCTCAAAGCAGGGGTAGCTGATGTGCCGAGGACGAGAAATACCGCCGCACCCCCTGAACGAGAGCCTGCTGCGCGGGAACACCGGGCCCAGGAAACGGACCGCTTCACTGCGGATCACAAAAGCCGCAAGTCCTCGGCCGACGCAGGCCGCCGGAGCTTCGACCTGGTAGAATCGCTGGGTAGGAAGCTCAACGAGCCAAAGTCTCAAAATCTTCGGGACAAGTACCAGCGAGACGCCGACTCCCCCAGCTCAGGAGACGAGCCGCCCGCGCGGGAGCCACCGAGGCGCCCCCAGTCAGAAATCTTTTTGAACCGCGTCAGCCTGGACAAGCCTAAGTGGCGACCCTTCATCCCAAGATCCCCCCGCAACAGAGAGTATCTGGGTTCTGACCTGAACGACCGGATCGTAACCTCGAGCGAAATCCTGTCAGGCAACACGCCGGCACCACGACACAGGTTTTCCAGCAAGGACGAGGACGCACCAATCGACCTATTGCAGGATCGTTTCGCCCGGCTGGGGGGGCCGGGCGAGCCTGACGTCGAGGCCAGCACCATGCTAGTGGCAAACACGTCAAAGAGCACGTTGCCTCCGCAGAGACGAGCAGCGGCAATCGCGCGAATAGAACAGAGAAAGGCCGACAAGAGACGCGCAGCGTCGGGCCAGAGCAACAATAAGGAGAACATGCGACCACAGCGCTCATGATATCAATTCGCATGCTTGGCGGTCACGTCCTTCGCCCGTCTGTTTGTGCAAGGCGTTTCGGTTGTAGGGATATGATTCGGACATTATTGTACTAGTAGTTTTTTTGGGTCACACGAGATGATAGCATGGAGTTTGGCTGGGGTATCATATCAACTCGGAATATTCAGACGATTCCAAGAAACCTCTTTCCCAGACCGTCTTCCTATCCCCTTGATTCACTTTATTTTTTTTTACCGTGTTTTTTTATGTTGTTCATGTTTAACCAATTTTTATGCGCTCAAGGTTCCCTTGGTGCTGGGCACTTCCCCCTCTTTACCAGCGACGCGGCTCGTGGCCATCTTGACAGCCACAGCCAAGGCCTTGAAGGCGCTCTCGGCGCGGTGGTGGTCATTCTCGCCGCGGAGGCAGTCGACGTGGAGGGTGATCCTGGCGCCCTGGGCGAAGCTCTGGAGGCAGTGGGGGATCATTTCGCAGCTGAGGTCGCCAATCTTTTCGCGGCGGAGGCCGAGCTCGACGACGCTGTAGGGGCGGTTGGAGAGGTCGACGACGGCGCGGGAGAGGGCCTCGTCGAGGGGTGCGTAGGCGTAACCGAAGCGGGCGAGGCCGGTTGCGCTGCCAAGGGCGGCGGCGAAGGCGTAGCCTAGGGCTATGCAGACGTCTTCTGCGGTGTGGTGGTCGTCGACTGTTTGGGAGGGTGTTCAGTATAAGCCAATATTGTCTGACTGGCTCCTTGTGTCGACGTCACTGGGTAGGGAGACGAACTGTGAAGGTCGCCCTTGCAGGCGAGAGCCAGACTCCAGCCGGCGTGCTTGGAGAGGGCGTGGAGCATGTGGTCGAGGAAGCCGATGCCCGTGTTGACGCTGATGGTTTGGGACTTGCTGGCCTGGGAGGCGTGCTCGGTGACGGCCGCGGTCAGCCTCGGGTCGGTGTCGGGAGGGAATGCCCCGCCGTCGAGGTTGAGGGCCATCTGGATCTTGGTCTCGTTCGTGTCGCGTGCGAGGGCGGCCCATCTGGGCGGGTGTGATGTTGTAGACATGGTGTATGCGTAGATGATATGTGTATGGTCGAAATAAGAGGGAAGCTGTTACGATTTGGTATAGAAATCGAGAATATCGCAAGTGTGTTGAATTCCGTCAAGATTACTCTGAGATTATTTTGACACTTTTTTCTTAGAGTCACTAATCGCAATGAAAGAGCGCCGTGTGTCGGAGCGTGTGTCGGAGCTCCTGGTGGCGGGGAGGGGTGAAAACGTGGGGCATTGTCCAATCACCACCGCCTTGCTGTCAGCGATTGCAGCTGTCATCAGCAGTAATCGTACCCGACCGCATTCTCCAATTTTCACCGCTAGGCCCACCCAGAGTAATGGAGCAGGAGCTCGAGCGGCAGAAAAAAGAATTGAAAAACGCGAGGCAGGAACGCTTCTTTGTCCATCTAATTTTGCCCAGCTGGAAAATCACCCCCCAAAAAGGAGAGGACACGGGTCAGGAACATGACCAACACCAACACATCAGCGCTGCAGCCTGGTGTCTCATTGGTCTAGTCCTTCTCTCCCGCAACACCTGCAGATAAAATAGGCAGCCTGCCAAATTGCTAGCTGCCATCTGCAACCTCACCATATCTCTCGTTTGCCTCAATTTACTTACCTGCCTCTTCATCGCACTGGAACACAGCTTGCTGGCCATCGAAAAACATGTCCGAGTTCCTCGATGCCTACTGGCAGGCGCCGCCTGTTGCAAGGTAAGCACAGCTCATCCCTCTCATACCCTATTTAAGAAACTCGACCTTGCTGACTCGCTCTCCGCAGAACATTTGCAACAGCCGCGTTCGTCACGTCCTTGTCCGTCCTCCTGGGCGTCGTGAATGGCTACTGGTTCATCTTTATGCCCCAGTTCCTCTTCCAGATCCCGCCACAGATTTGGCGTCTTGGGACCAACTTCCTGCTCACCGGCCCCCAGCTCGGCCTGCTCTTTGACACGTACTTTCTGTACCACTACCTGACGGCGCTTGAGGTCGGCAATCCCAGGTTCGCTAGGCGCGAGGATGTCATCTGGTATCTCATGTTCGTATGCACTGTCATCACGGTAAGTTATCATCGTCGCTGTTGCGGCAGCCTGCCCAATCATGCCCGTACCACGGCGCTGCTCCCTCTGGGGAAAGTTCCTTCATTATACACAATACCCACGGGAAGACACTCTTCTCTTGCTATACACAAATTATCTTGCACCTCATATTATCTGCCCGCACAGTGGAACCCCACAGCTGTCAGCGGTTCCTGGAAATGAGGAAGATTACCCTCACGGCGCGACCCGTCCTCTTTCGCTTTAAGGACGTGGTTCGTGGCGTGGGCATGGTGGGATGTCTGATGTATCGCTCATGCAACCTCACAATGTTGCTCGAGTGATGTTAGCGCCCTACATTTCATCGCCCAAACTCGGGGTTTTTTTCCTTCTTTTGTTCACAATGTCATGATCATCGTCATCCAGTTTCGGCCCAGAGGAGCATGCGCTAATATCGCACAGGCACTCTGCACCTACCTCATGGGCGGAGGAGCTTTCCTGCCGGCTTTGATTCTCGCCATGTGTCGCACCGTAACACAAGACCAGCGCGGGATGAAGGCGAACTTTTACTTCGTCACCATCCCCGCTCAGCTCACCCCGTTCTGCATGATGCTCGTGTCGCTACTGTTCCCTGGCGGGTACTACACCGCCATGCTCCAGCTCATGGGCTTCCTGGCCGCTCACCTCTACGACTTTTTGTCCCGCGTGTGGCCTGAGTTCAGCGGCGGCAGCAACCTGATCCCCACGCCCGGCTTCCTGTCTCGTCTTGTGCAGACTCCTCGCTTTAATCAGCGTGGCTACGGAACTGCTGTTCGTGGCGGCGGTGGCTCGGCCCAAACATCGGGTAGCAGTACTGGCGTGTCCCAGGGCGGCGGCGTCTTGCCCGAGTCGTGGAGGACAAGAGGACCTGGTCGACGTCTGGGTTGAGGCAGACGCCATGCCAATCACTGTGTGTACGATAAAAATTTAATTGATGATGCATAATATGGTATTCTTTCCATGACCCTTTTGATCACGTTGACACTTGACGTGACACCGCAGGTTCCCTTACTTAAAATACAACTTACCGACCCGTCCCAAGACTCCATGAAATAAAGGACGTCCTCATAATACCATGTTCCCTTGCGCCATTATCAGGACACAGTACCTAAGTCTATCCATAAAGAACGCTCTTGCCGCTCCGAATCGGCATGTCACCCTCGTATTCTTCAGGCTCGACCCGTACCGGCACCTCGTGTGTTATTATCGCCGACCGGCCAGCGAGCGGCAAGTCCCTGAACCTCTCCTCGTGGAAGGCCAGGGGGTGCGATATCTGCATCTCGCTCGTCTCGCCACGGTCCGCTATTGGCGTGGCGTCTTGGACGGTGATGGAGGGCGGGGAGTACTGCTTCGGCACGCGTATGCGCGGTACCGAGGGGAGGGATAGGGAGGGGATCTTCCTGGGCTGTTTTCGACCGGAAGTTTTACCCGGTGGCGGCGGCGGGATGTTCACCACTTTTGGTATGTTATTATTGGTGTACGACGACCCTTGGGACCGAGCAGGCGACGGCGTCCGAGACACGGCGCGTGGCGGGGGCCTGATGGTGGACGGCTCCTCTGCCGCGCTGAGGTACGTTTGCAGGGCGTACGAGTCGGGTGTGTTGGTCTTGCGGGGGTTCGGCGGCGTCGGGGTCGGCGTGCTGCGGTTCGACTGGCGGCTCATGGCGCGGGGGATGTAGGCCGGGTGCGTCGGCAGGGCGCTACTGGGGCCGTGGAAGCCCGAGTGCGGGTCAAAGTTGTAGCGGGCGGTGTCGCGCCCGGCCTGGACCTCCTGCTCCAGCTTGTCGTAGTACTCTGCGTTGTTGCTGAAGCTGTTCGAGTTCAGGTTCTTCTCTTGCAGCTCGTAGTTGTACGAGTTGATGGACGACGACTTTTTGTGCTCGCCAATGTGGAGATAGGGGCTCTGGCTGATGGCTGTGAAGGAGCTTGTGTAGCTCCCGGGCGGGTGCTGGTGCTGGTTGTGATGGAAATAGTAGGACGCCTCGTCTTGCATTCTTTGCTTGCGCTGCTTGCGGCAGTAGATGATGAAGAGGCAAATCGCGCCGACGAAGACAAGGCCGCCGCCGACGGCGATGCCGACGATGGTGCCGAGCGTCATGGTGGTCGAGGAGGCGCCGCCGTCACCCGGGAGTGTCGTGTTTGTGCTCGACTCTGTGATGTTGACGGCTTCCGTGGAGAAGAGCTGGCCGGTCAGGCCGATGAGGGTCCCGTTGGCGGGCTTTTGCTGGCAGCCGGCTTTGAGAGCAATCAAGACTGTGAGACGAGGGCCGGTATCAGCTTGTGTTTTGCTTGCTATGTGAAAAGGCGGGCTTCTCGTGTAACCGACTTACAGTTTGAGAGGTAGCTTTGGCTATCGCTTGATTGTAGACACCGGACACAAGACCACCAGTTTGAGCTTGAAAACCTGTCTCCGTCGGCGGTGCAGTAGTCGTATGCCGCGTTGGCGTCTGGCGTGGTTAGAGCTGTTGCGAGGGCGTTCTTCAGCGGCCGACAGGCGCTATTGATGATACACGGGGAGTTTATTTGGGAGATGGCGTCTGGGAAGTCGAAGAGGCAGACGTCTACTGCGTAACGGATATTGTCTAGGAGGATCAAATAAGCCGGGGGGCTCTCTAAAGCAAGTTGGTTCTCACGGTGAGTGAGGTCTTACACAGAAACCAAGAGGCGTCACTTTGCGCTCCTTTGGACGCCTGGCTCTTCTGCAGGCACGAGACGCAGTTCCTAAACTTGATTCCCTTGCCCGTCAAGTGGTATTGGTTGTCTTCGCAGACTATGTCGGACGAGTTGGTCCCCGATGTCGTCGTCGTATCGATTGCTGTTCCGTTTGGCCCACCCAAGCACAAAGCCGCACAGTCTGAGTCGGGTGTAACCTCGAGCGAGAAGACGACCGTGACAAGCGAGGATACGAGCAGAAGAAGATGCCGCAGAGACGCTGTGGCCATGACGAAAGTTGCCCTTCTTCACGTCCGGCTGGTCAGGGCTTGAAATGGGGAGTGGACAGGAAGAGGAGGGGAGGAGAAGAGGATAGGATTAAGTAAAGCCTGGGGGTTTATATGAACAGCATGGCATATCACCCTTGAAGAGAAGAGCTCGATGGGCGAGTAAAGATGAGACTCTATCCCGTGCGTAGACCGGACAGGAAAAATGACCATCAAGGGATAGCCAAAGAGCTCACCATCTTTGGGAGACCCGTTGCATTTCACTTCTGCGGGAACACATTGCAGATATAATGCCGGGTCTCGAACAGGTAGTATTAGAGCACGGCTGGTCCCCCCATGCAAGACAGGTAGGCGGCTCTGCACTTGCAAGCATTGCTAACGTAATAGATGGAGGTCGATCTATTTTGAGGGTGTGTGGTAGTGGTAGTGTTGCGTTGGCTCCAGCCGGTGAGGAAAGGCACGAAGAAGGCAGCTAGCTAGCTATTGGGAGTCAAGAGACGGTAAGGCTTTCACTAGCGCATGTCATTTTGTTTCTCCAGATCGCCAGGCCAGGCGAGGATTTTCGAGAGAGCTGAGAATAGCAATGGAAAGCCAAGATGGGGGAGCGGGTATAAACGTGAGTCCAATGACACGGCGCGTAGTCTTGAACCCTTGACTCTTGTAATCGTGTGCGGGTTCGAACACGACGAATCAGAGAGCAGGAAACGAGAAGCCCACAGCGCCAAATAAATGTAAGTTGAGGAAACGAGAGATGCTGACTGGTTGAAGAAGAACACACACTCTCTCACGGGAAGGTTGAAACAGGAAGAGGCACGGGTGAACAGGATTGAGTGGTCTCGCAGGCGCCGGCCGGGCATGCGGCCTACTTTCCTGGTCTTGGCCTCCTAGACAACCCTGGCCAAATGAACAAGGGATCTCGAAAAGAACCTTGACCAGCCATTTAGCTGCCGTCTTCCCGCCCAAAAGGGGCCCGCATTCTGGCAGCTTGACTGAGCTTAAAGACGCCCGGCGGCGGGGAAATCAGACCACTTCTGGCCACGGCCGAAATTGCCACGCGACTACACAGTAGAGATCTTGAACGGGGGACGGGGGCAGTTCGGATGTCTTCCGTCTACTCCGCCTTCAAGCCTACATTAGGCAAAAGAACTTCAGCATGTTCGAAAAGTGTTACCTATTAATACCGTAGTTGAGTCATTGTTCCCGAGAAGAGACACATGACAACTTAAAGGATTCATCTATGTATGCCCGATTAAGTGAGTAAGCTTCCTCCAGTATGCATAATTATACAAACGCATGTATTAAGAACGCGTCTATCGACCAACGACAGTAGTACAACCCGTCCAGAGCTGGTGCCGCTGCCGCGAGGCCAAAGTCGATGCGACTCTGCCGGCTGCGTGCTGGTTAAGAGGGCGGATCGTGGCACACCCGGATTTCCCTCTTTTCCGTGGGGGGCCGCTCTTGGACTGCTCTGTATGGTTGTCACCCGCAGCGGATGTCCAATAATAGAAGCGAGTGTGATTGTGGCTGCATGCGCCAACCATCGTCCACTTAGCACGGTCGAGAAGGTAACTTCCCGTCTGGTGTTCGCGAACACCTCCATCTCGACGGCGACTAATTGGTGAGTTTTGGGAGGATGGTTCGAACAAAGTTGCTGATATATCGGTGTATTTTGACATCGCGTCAATTATTGCATCAGTCATCACCATTATTATGTATACTAGTTACTGTGGGCTCATACTCCCAGACACTGAGCTATATAATAGGCACTCACTCCCTGCTCGTTTTCACTTCCCTGAAGACGAAGTCACTTCCAGAAGAAATCCATCTATAATGTCCATCTTTTTTTCTGCCCTCACATAAGTTTTGCCCGCATCGGGAAGACATGGATTGCAAGGATAGGATGCGGCAGCCGTCTTCCGCCATCCTCTTGACACACCGAGAAAGCTTCACTGCTTCTTAATTTTTACTCAATCACAGATTTGCCGGAGTCATGTTTACCAACCCTCATGCGAGTCACCTCTTGCACGCCTGACATTTGTCTAGTCACGGCCAGATCCTGTGCTACGGAAACGAGGCCGCTCGTGGTACTGGATACAATTCCAGGAAAAACCTCAGCTTCGTTTGCGTGCCCTGCTGCGGTGTTCCAGCCACCGGATCCTTGCATGATTGTTTAGAGTCAGCTTTAATCTCAAGAAGGTATCCCGTCATCAAACCAGTGCAACAGCAAGCCTGAGCCACGGCCTTCGAACTTGTTTGGCTTTGCGGTCCTCTCCTGCACGAAAAGTCGATCTGGTAGAAACTTCGATGATTCTGTTGCCCTGCTCTGTGGACATTATCCAAGACACCTGCTCACTTCCTCCCGTACGCATGGCTTCCGCGAAGTTGGTCTACATCGAGATGTGCTATCAAGTGTTGCACTGGATCACAAACAGTCAGTGCGTGCTTGTGATTCGGACGAGATGGAATTCCTCCTGGCAGATCCTTCTCATAACCACACGTGGCGGAAACCTGTTCTGGGCCCAAAAGACCGTTGCACGGAATCTATCTCAAGCTCGTCCGGGACACGAAACCCCAAATCCCATATTGACTCCCTTCCCGTCAGGGCAAGAGATGCATGATTGGCAGCTTGAGTCTACTCGCAGTTTGTTTTGACTGGCTCGTTGAAGCCCAGAAGGCGGAGCTGCTTCGGCCGCTTCGCGGTGTTTGTGTCTCTATCCTTCCGGAACCGTATAGACTATTGCCTAGAGAGTACCTGTTTGTGTCGCACGTCAGAAACTGACAAGCTTCACAATCAGAACTTTTGCTGGTAGAAACAAGCTGAACTACCTTACTATCGTGAGACGTTCCGACCACATGGCTGTTGATGAGCATACGGTGACTCCGACTTACAATGATTGGAACTTCTGCGCGGTCGAGGCTATTTAAGAGGTAGCCCTTACCACCATCATTACCATCATCAATACAAGGTCCATCCGCAGTATCTCATCTTGTCTACACGATCGGAAAACGAAATGAGCCTCAAGTCAGCCATCGTCGTCTTCGCCACGTTCGCCTTCCGGGCCCTTGCATCCCCGGCCGAGCCGCCCCAGCCCCAGAACCCCGAAGACTGGTCCCTCCTGAATTTCCGGCGTACCTGCGCTGCGGATCAGAGCAGGTGCAGCTACACCTTCCTCGTGTCCGAAGACCCAACCAAGGTGCCCAAGTACTGCAACTTTGACATCGACGCCGCCGGCGGTCTCCCCGCGTACCAGACCGACTTCTCGTCTCTCAAGTGCCCCGGTGTGCCCGAGTATACGATCAATGGCGGCTGGGACGAGCAAGGTTTCATCACATTGACGGTGATCAACGATCCGAGAAAACTCCTGTCCTTTTTCGCCTTCCGGGATGATGAGCTATGGGCTGGTGAGCCGGCCACACCCCAAACGTCCAAGGTCTTCATCTACCCGATGCCAGCCAAGCGAGAGGTCGAGGCCAGGGAAGAGGAGACTGGCCTGGCATATGCCTCGAGCTGGAAGATTCTGGATCTCATCAGATGTGAGTTGTTCGGGTTTCACTGATTTCTTGTCAACAGTTCTCTAACGAAGTTCTGAAGATGAATTTAACCGAGGAGCCCCTTACACCGACGCACTGATCATGTCCTTCGGCATCCAGAGCGGCCACAATCCGATCGAGACCTGCCACATCGTTACTCCTCTTTTCGAAGGTATTCAGCCCCTTGGTATGAGTTTCGCCAACGTAGCCTGTAAGTACGGTGGTTGGACGGCATCCTGGGGTCACAACGAGACCACGGACGAGGCGGTGATGACCTTGATAAAGTAAGCTATGATCCTCCCTTTTCTGTTTTGTAAAAAACTGATATCATTGGCAGTGCAAACCATGACAGGATTGCATACTTTGGTTTCAACGAAGTCAGCACCCACATCATTCTTGGCGACAACGGACCTAGACCCGTCTCCTCGTTCTAGAGGCAAAACTATGTTGAGACTGATGTCATCTTTTACAAGTCGGCAAACTTGCTGACGATATCGATGGGATCCAAATGGGAATGCATGACTGTTGAAATTCCTTGGATATGTGTTGTGAAATTCATTTCTTCGTGTAGACATTGAACCCACACGCGCTAGTATAGGGAATAGGCAATTGAGAAAATTTGTTTGCGAAATAGATAAAGAATATCAAGACTTGATTTTCCACCATTTAGAGCTCTGATTTCATAGGTACTTTGAAGGAATGGATATTCACTTGCAGACACACGATAGAATGACATTTCTTGTGGTGATTATCATATAAGAGCGTTATCATCCACTTCGCGAGTACTCGGGGCCGCTGATTAACATACCGAAAGGCCTCCGCCTAATCATTGTCTCTTCTTCAGAGCAAGATGAAACAAGCGAAGACTTCTCGCAGCTTTGGATTCGATGTGTTTCATAAACGGAGCTGACCAACAGCGTGTAAGAATCAAGGCGCCAGCGATACGGAGCATCTAGCGGTGACGACCACCTCGCGGCCACTCGGCCTTGGCCATCCTACTGCTGATGGTAGGCAAGAGAGACGGGCTACGCGCCTTTTAGGCGCCAGGTTCGGGAGGGCGCCTGATCATAAGTCGGACTCTTCCACCATGACTTCGTCAGATTGGACAGACATGGAGATGGCTTCCCCGCTAAATCCACACAGCTGGTAAGCCCCTCGACCCCAACTGCCACGCTATGGTTGTCAGCAGTTGTGGGCCACTTCAGTCTCGAAAGATTAGCATGTTCCAAGCGACCCTGTTCGGCAAATGACACCAGTGCCATGGTTGGCCGAGCATCTCGATGCGACTTTGCAGACGTGATTGACCGGTGTGAAGCGGTGGGACGCATACTCCTGCTCGTGATCACTCTGCAGTTGTGATTGCGCTCTTGTTCAGGGAATGCTGCCAATCGCTAGGTATGCTGTGTGGCCCGAAAGATTCTTCAAGACGTTCGAGGGATGTTCAACACAGAAAACATAACAAATTCAACGAAAGATACTCGGATCAGCAGAGATATCTTAAACAATCAAGCTGTACGATGGTGTATTATTCAACAAAACCGATGAACATCGTGAGGTGGAAAATGCTTGCAGAAGAGCCCACGTGAACAGTGTCTCCTTCGGGCGCAATCAACCAGACCCGATCCAATGTGTTCACTATTTGTGCTGACGTTGTTCAGGGAACCTAAGCAATGCTCAGTGGTAGAAAAAGGGGGAGTCCACGACGCGGTTGCTCCCGGAACAGGAAGAAATTCGCCCTACCATGATACGACAACACACTGGGCACAAGATCGTCACTTGGGCCTAGCCTGTTGGCGCAACGGCAGAAGCGCGCATGGAGATGTCACACATGAGTGGGCGATGTGGGCTGGCACTTTGTGGGGAGGAAGAGCATCAGCCTGTGGCAAGCCTGAAGGGCAGCCCGAATGAAATGGGAGGCTGGTTTGTGCCCTGCCTAGGATAGCCTAGTGCCAGGGAGGATGCAGATTGGGTGATCGGCCATTGGTTCCAACCGTCGAATAGCTGCAGTTACTACGACCAAACCCCTGTCTTCAGCGAGCGGCAAACGTCGTCTTCCTGTTGGTTGTCATCTATCACCAACACCATATGCTCCAGAGTCGCAATAGGTCGGCCGGTGTTGGGCCATGGCTCGTAGCGTTACCCTCGTGGCTCCTCGCAAACTTCCGAGCCCCCCTCTTCTGCTCTGTCTAATCCCCATATACCGCCTTGAGCGCACAAGATTTCCCGCTTTGGGGTGCGCTAAACTTTGATCCCTCTCCTCGGCCCCATAATCTCTCATCACCTCTCCTCTCAGTGTAGGGTATTCTTCTTCTATCTTGAATGTCGTCGCCACTGCCTACCGAGTTACACATACCCAGAGCAGCGAAACGTACGGTCGGTCGAGGGGATTCTGATTATAGGAGATTCGACCGGATTGTTGTTTCGCTGCGCCCGCCATTAATACGCTCTGACAATGAGGATCGGCTGTCTTCAATTTGCTCCCCAGGTGGGCGATGTTGACAATAATCTCAACCGCGCCGACTCAGTCTTGAGCAAAGCGAACCCCAACGATCTCGACATTCTCGTACTGCCTGAGCTGGCTTTCTCAGGTAAGTCAATAGTCATTCGGTTCCCATAGCGAAAAGCGCGGTGGAGGCTGACATAACTTTCAGGATACAACTTCAAGTCGTTGCAACACATCTCACCCTTTCTCGAGCATTCCGGCTCCGGCATTACCTCTCTCTGGGCTCGAACCACAGCCCTCAAATACAACTGCAATGTTGTCGTTGGCTACCCGGAAAAGGTCGACGTGTCTGACAACTGGCCAACTAGTCCTGAGTACTACAATTCAGCAATTGTGGTCAACGGGGATGGAGAGACGATAGCCAACTATAGGAAGACATTCCTTTACTACACTGATGAGACATGGGCTTTGGAGGGTCAGGGGTTCTTCGATGGCTTCATCCCCGGGCTGGGAAATGCCTCGATGGGTATTTGTGAGTCTTCCTTTCACAACCACCAATCACTGAAGTACTGCTAACTAGGTATAAAACTAAAGGCATGGACCTGAAGTAAGCAAGGTCATTTCTCGTCTCTTTTTTTGATAGAATACTGACACCTCATAGTCCGTACAAGTTCGAAGCACCCTGGCACGAATTTGAATTCGCCTTCCATGTACTCGAGTGTGAGTCCAATGTGGTGATCCTGTCGATGGCATGGATGACACGTGAGGATGGGCGCATGTTTAGTCGCATGCCTAATGAACCTGACATGGACACATTGACTTATTGGGTCACTCGATTGGAGCCTCTCATAAGGTCAGAAAACGGCGACGAGGTTATAGTCATCTTCTGCAACAGAACTGGTATCGAGGATGAGGCTGTCTATGCCGGCACGAGTGCCGTAATTGGCATTCAGGATGGCGAGGTCAAAATCTATGGTCTACTCGGCCGAGGTTCGAAGGACTTGTTAGTCGTCGACACCAACAATGGGCCTTACGCCAAGCTTGTTCACCGCCCCGAACCCAACCATCCATCAGTCCTACACGGAGAGTTGGAGAAGATGAACCCGTCTCCTGCATCCAGCACAACGCCTGGGTACGAAGGCTCTCAATTGTCTCAGCCCAGCCAATCGCAGCCGAACGATGCGGCAAACACGCCGACGGACTCGAAAAAGAATTCGCCTGGAAAGCCACCTTCCGTTGTTTCTCTCAAAGACTCAGTGGCAGCGAGGAGAGTGAGACCGTCGCCGCAGATCCAGATTCCTTCTTTGCAGAACTCCACAGGAGCCCTCAGTCTGGACAGCCCAAGCCTACCGACTCCCACTGCGCCTAGTCCCACGCCACTTTCAATTCGACCGAAGCTGGTTATCCCACAATCTCCGTCATCTCAAATTTGGCAGTCGTTCAGTCCTGTTCCCCAGAGTACGCAATCAACACATTCGGTCCGCTCACTACTCTCCGACCATTCCGTCGCATCGAATGGTAGGGCGCCTGCAGACAGCACTCCTTATCCAGACAGCGCTCAACCTCTGAGCGGATATCCTAGGTTTCCGGAGAGGATGATTTATGACGGTCAGGTTGTGATTGCTCAGGGCCCTTACAGCCCCATCACTTCGACAGGCAGCCAGTCTCCCATGTCGCCTCGTTACTTCTGGCGACCTTCGGACACTCTCCTGAAGACACCCATGGAGCCACGTGGATGGTCAGCTGCTCCGGAGTCGCCGATCATGAGGCATGCTCCTTCATCGACCTATCAGAATCTTTCACTCTGGTCACAGCATGATCCGCTAGCACGTTCCCACAGTTCCAATACTGTCCGAACTGCCGTCACGGCAGTAACAGCGAAAAGGGATGAGCCGAATGTGAGGAAGCAGAAGACGGCCGACTCAGCTCGAGGCAAGAACTCTCAGCCGCCGAAATCAAGAAGTCCAAGCAAGTCGCGCAGCGAAGAATTCTCAGCAGCCACGAATGGAGCCACCCAAACAACATCTAGTCGTGATGCTACTCCTGCCCGTCCCTCGTCTCCAAAGTCTCGTCACGCTAGTCGATCTAGACTGCGCAATCGCTCCGATTCAGCACTGGCTCTTCGTGAGCAGGCCGTGGAAATTTCTCAACACTTGGAGAACATTTCCAAAAGAGCAGAATCAGTGAACCGGGACCGAAACTCCCCGAATGACGCTGAGGTTGTTCAAGTTGATCGCCCGCCCTCTCCGAAATCTCGCAACTGTAGTCGCAGCCGCCCTGCGAGAAGACAGTCTTCAATTCTGATCGCGGCAAGTCCTAGCATTTTCCCAGACGAGTTTACTCGGCCAGCGTCCACTGCCATGGTGGAAGGTCCCAAGATCGAACACTCACGGTCCATGTCGAGATCGGGACATCATGCAAGAAGCGAGTCTATCACCAAAGGGGGCAGGGCCGCCTCGAAGGATACACATACTCGAGCGCGAACCCCGGCAATCGATGGCAAAGTCCCGAACCGGCCTGCCTCTCGCACGGCGAGTCGAGGCCGTCAACCCGGACCAGTGTTCTCGCCACCCAAGATGTCGCCAAGTGGGAGACCCCCATCGGCCAGGGGAATGTCAGCCAATCATGCCGATCCTGTGAATAGAAAACAAGGACCATCGGTATCTAATGCTTCTTCCACGTCTCCTGGGGTTGTTCCCGTAGGATTCGATAAGATTGAAGCAGTTCTTCACCCCAACTGTCCAGTGCACGGACGACATTCGACAAGCGGCGTCCGGCCCACAGAAAATGCAGCGGCTCAAGAGCACAACGAGCCATTTGACTTGGCACTCAGGAGGTCCCTCTCAACCCCAGCTACAGCAAACAACAGTACGGTTCAGTTTGGGTCGCTAGAGAGCAGCAAAATTTCACACAACCCTCGGGTTTCAACTGTTGCCAATACTCCGCCGAGCGATGTGTCATCGCTATCTGAGACGGTCGGGACGGTCTCGACAACCAGCCGTTCACCTTCTACACCGTTTTTTGAGCCAAAGACGCCGACTGCCATGGTGATCATTCGTGACTTGGAGGACGCGGCGTTTGGAATAGCTAGCCCGGAGAAAGAGAGTGGCTTGGCGGAGTTGAGGTGCGTGGATAGAAACATGGGAGTTTCTGCTGTTGCTTAGATCTACACAACCTCATGGCATGACGATGTTTTTTCTTTATTCTTTTTTTCCCCCGAATAGGGATGTCATTTCAAGCTGGGAGTCAGGTTTCATCAATATGTGCTTTTATAGCGCCGGCGCGAAGAGGGAACTCATCAGGAAAGGTAATGACTGAATGGCTAAGGTTCGAAAACGGGGCATGATATGGAAGACGGTCAGTATACTGGATGAGACCGGTCTACCTAGAGCGTGTTGAATTTTGTGGCGTTTGAACGTTCTTTGTTCGTCCCATTCCCTTTGTTTTCTTAGTAAGAAACTCGTTGGTAAACAGTCTTGTTGCCGACAGTAGTGGTGTGGTCATGGCCAACTTGGCATTCGTCTTTTACCTCAATATTGACCTGTTCTTAATGACCGTTGTGCCAGTTCTGTCGGACGAACAAGTTGTGGCCTCTTGGCAGCAGCTTTGGGTCTACGTCAACGTTCTAGTAGACAAGAGCAAATTACTCGGCACCGTTAATTGCGAAGACCAAGTTACCGCGCTTCTGCAAGGCTCCCGACTTATGAGATCTGCAATAAGCCAAGCAGCTTTCGATCTGAGCGGCGCTTCCGGACCAGAAAGCCCCCTGTCATGGCGGCTGAGTGATGTTGCCGAGGCCATTCGGGTCAAGCAGCAGCGCTCAGTGGAGCGATGATCAGGCCGACAGCAGCGTTATGGTATGCAGCGCCGCTGAGATGCATGAGGTTATCGTGTGTTTGCTTAACGGACCTGCCTTTGAGCTTCACAACCGCAACCAACAGGCACATCTTTCAACATACAACACAGCTAGACCGGGATAACCAAGAAATATGTACCTTCAGGGCGCTAGGCCGTCCAACGGGCCTCACCTGGTAGAAGGCGGTATCCAATGAGCAATCGGATGAGCAGTTCCACCCCGAAGTGATTGCTGAGGTGTGAAATAGGACAGGGATTCTTGCATCTAAGCACTGTCGTACTGGGCGATAGCTGCATTCTGAGTGGCTGGGAGGAGGCAGCTTGTCTGCACGCCACTTTCCACCTCGGCGCTAGGAGGACCAGCAACGACGAGCGATCCGTCCCCGAGTCCCCACTCTCCCCGGCCGGGTCAGCGGTGTGAACAGATGGGACCATTACCTTTGGCCACTCAGCACAACCTAACTCATCTTTCAACAATCTGGTGCGGACGGGCCGTTGGTGAAGAACCGAAGAGGGAGGGCATAGGTATTCCCCCTCATGGTTCTGTACAATGTCTGGCAGACGGTGGTGCCCTCCCGCCATCGCTGTGCCACCCCCAAACGAGCGTGTCCCTCTTCGTTCGGACCCCAATCACACTCTACACCAACAAGATGCAGATGCAGTCGTGCTCCATCCAACTGAGCGGGTGTGTCTCTCGCGCCGACCTGCCACCTCTCGTCACAATCACACTTTCTCCACCTTCTCTCTTGCAAACACCGAAACACATATGAGGCGTGGTTTCGCATGGCTCGCGATCTCTCATCACGCCTCGTCACATCGGAAGCGTTTCTGGAGCTACCTTAGTCGTGCTAGTATCTCAGCGACTATACCGCCATACTTAAGTTTCCACAAAGCCCTGTCAGACCCCGTTCGCCCCCGGAGGCATGTAAGACAGGCATCTCGACAGCGATTGACCTCCGAGCAAAGCTCTTTCGTGCGTTGCGGCAGCCTGCCCTGTTGGCAACACTTCCGGTTCCACCGGCGAACTCCAGTATCAAAATCACCCTCGCTTTTTCTCTCCAAAATGCGTCCCGCAACGGGTGCCCTTGTGCTAGGCCTTGGCCTCAGCCGGGTGTCGGCTCTCCACGTGGCTGATGGTTCACCTTGCGAGACACTATGCGGCAACGTACTCGATGCGACGACAAAGAATGACGTTGTCTGCGACGAGCACTCGTACTCCAGCAGCGCGGCCGGCTCTGTCTACCAGCAATGCTTGTCTTGCGAGTTGTCCAGTGATTATGCGACTAGCAGCAACGAGACAGACACGCAATGGGCATTGTGTAGGTGCATGGTCTAGTTTCCAGAACGAAAGGGAAGCTGACCTCGTCTGTATAGATAATCTCCGATACGCCATTTCCTACTGTACTTTTGGATTTCCAGAGAACCCAGCCGTCGGGTCAAACCCGTGTCTCACGAGGTATGTCTGGCGTTGAATCTGCCAACTGTGACTTTTAGTAACCATCGAACAGGACTGCATGTGAGCCGCTGCAGAGAGCAATCGAATATAGTAATTTGGCTTCCAACGTTTCCGAGTTTGAGTACTGCAATGACTGGAACCATAACCAGGTCGCTGGCTGCTCAAATTGTCTCCGTGCAGGAGACAACAATTACATGACTAACTGTAGGTACCACAACGGCCATGCTGACGATCTTTGACTGACAAGCTCCCAGTTCTCACCATCTTGGATGCGGGCTGCCAACAGAAACCCGCTCCCGGCTCCACAGTCTCTATTGACGGTTCTCCTTTCTCGAAAACCCGAGTCAACATCACTGAGCCGACACCTACCAATACGTACGTGTCAAACTACAATAGCGGACCCATCAGCCTGGGCGGCAAAGTCGGCATTGCCATCGGAGGTTTTGTTCTCCTTCTTGTCGTCGCTGGGTTCTGCATTGTGTGGAACGGGAAGAGGAGGCGTAGAGCATTCTTGAAGACGCTCGAAATGAAACAGCAGGGCGGCGGCGGTCGCTCCGGATGGCCAACGCCGCTTAACACTACCGGCATGGGCGGCACTCCCCTTAGCCAGAAGCCTCTGCGAACCTGGGACGCCTCGCCGCAGAGCCAAGGGCCCTCTCATGGATGGGACGACTCACCGATGAGTGCCAACGGGGAACAACCTTACACGAGGTACTTCTCGCCATACTCGTCCCAATATAACAGCCCAGTCAGTGGCGCTGAGGCACCTGCCATGCAATGGCCGGCGAACGATGCGAAGCCCCAAAGACAACCTCAAGAGATTGGTCTCGCACTCGGTGGAAGCGGGCAGGAACAGAAATGGAACGACTCGAAAGGAAAAGAGCGATCAGAGTCATACGAGATGAGAGACGTCGAGCCCGAGTGGGATGCTCGACAGAGATACCCGAGCCCGCCCAATATCCAGCAGCCTGCGCACACGGTATACGCCGAGCACAACCCGGCGGCCTACCACGGCCTGACAGAGGAGGATCTTCGAAGAGGGTACGCTCTCTAAGTCGCAGTGTGCACGGTACTGAGGGTATCGTAAGATGGAATATGTCGCTCCTTCTGCATCCAATGTTGTTTTGCTTGAGCGGGAGTTTGGAGTCGATGATACCGATCTATTAGCATCGGCTTTGAGGCTTGATAGCAGAACAAGCCTACCAGCGATAAACCTGAAATATTGCTAGAAATACAGTTTCATAATTGACGTCAAAACACATCAGTGCCAAGTTAGCTGTGTGTGGTCGTGTTCCTTAAGTTGAGCCTGTCGTCGCTGGTCCCATTTTCTTTGTGAATCGTGCATGATAACGATAACAAGCCAACTTTTGGGTCGTTCTTTCGTTCCATGTTTTTTAACCAGACGGCTGGTCCCTGGTCGAGGAAGGCGGAACGGTGCAAGGCGCGTCCGCTTTGTGGCTAGGCGTCGCAGCGTGACCAATTGCATTCGCTCAATGGCTGATGCACGCCACATTGTGGATCCAGACGGATTTTTTTGGCAGCTTCCACCCCACAGCCAGAGAAAAAAAATTTGGACTGAGAAGCTTCAAGTCCTCCAACACCACGAGACCTTCCATTCCGACGTTCGCGAGCCAACGTCAGACACCCATTGCACCTGCAACGCCTTTGTCGTTTTGGTACAATTCGGAAACAATGGCCATGGAGATTGTCAAGCACGGCGAGGAGGAGGAGTTCGCCATCAAGCCTCAGGCCTCTGTCCCTCACCTGGACACGAGCAGCTGGCCTCTGTTGCTCAAGAACTACGACAAGCGCAAGTTTTCCTCCCCTTGGACTTGAGCGACCGCTCGTATAGATCATCAAAACCAGGCGACTGACTAGGCTTTTGCAGTTCTCGTCCGGACGGGTCACTTCACCCCCATTCCGGCAGGATGCAGCCCTCTGAAGAGAGACATCAAGTCGTACATCTCTTCCGGTGTCATCAACCTCGACAAGCCCTCCAACGTATGTCCTCGTAGCTGCGATATGTCTAGGTGTGCGGTCATGCATGCTAACTGTTGAATAGCCCAGTTCCCACGAGGTTGTCGCTTGGGTCAAGCGTATTCTTCGGTATGCAATTCCCATTTCCTCGTTCTTTTGTTTGCGCAGCAATGCCCCGCGCCCAATCGTGCGATTAGCCCCCCGACATCGAAGACGATATTCTCTACGGCAATGTTCTACAGGAAAGCTCAGCATCAATGGCGGTGCCTGGCCAGCGAATTCCGATGACGACAGATGCACTTTGCAGAGTGTTCTACACGATGCGGTCAAAGACTTCCCTGAAGGACAACTCCCAACGAACTTACGAGCCGATGGTCATGGCCTTAACGGAAACAATGCAACACATTCTGGCATGTCATTTTGGAAGAACTACAAACTGCCATGGGAAGGCATGCTTCGCAAGACATTCGTCAGAACTCGTTTGCCCGGACCACCGTGGGACTGCGGCGTCTTGGGACAGTGGATGCTGCCATTGCCGTCTGTCAACTAGGAACACACGCGATCGAACAACTTCGAGGGGCATTCGCTTATTATTCAGAATACTATTGGTTTTGTTGAGAATACGTCGCTAACCAATTTTTTCTGATGCGCAGCGTTGAGAAGACTGGTCACAGCGGTACCCTTGATCCCAAGGTCACTGGTGAGTCGCGTTCCCACATAACTGTCTCGAACGTGTTTTGCTAACTTTCTCAGGTTGTTTGATTGTTTGGTTAGCAATAACCCACCGAAATCTGATGGAGGTTTCTGCGAGAGAATTGCCACTGACGAACCTCCAGCGTCGACCGTGCCACCAGACTCGTCAAGTCCCAGCAGTCGGCTGGTAAGGAGTATGTTGCCGTCATCCGCCTTCATGACAAGCTTCCCGGCGGCAAGGTCCAGTTCGCCCGCGCTCTGGAGAGTGAGTTGGTTCGAAATCTGTCGCAACTGCCAAAAATATTCTGACTCGCGATGCAGCTTTGACTGGTGCCCTCTTCCAGCGCCCTCCTTTGATCTCTGCCGTCAAGCGTCAGTTGCGTATCCGTACCATTCACGAGAGCAAGCTCATCGAGTTTGACAACGTACGTCGATCTACTCCAACATTGGAACAACTGCTGACCGTGTCTGAATCATAGGATCGCCACCTCGGTGTCTTCTGGGTTTCCTGCGAAGCTGGAACCTACATCCGTACCCTCTGCGTCCATCTCGTACGTCACATTCAATGCCGTTCATTCAGCCTAGTTCAGATTGCTTACATGGATTAGGGTCTTTTGCTGGGTGTCGGAGGCCACATGCAGGAGCTCCGAAGAGTGCGCAGTGGTGCCATGGGCGAGAGCAAGGAGATGGTTACTCTGCACGACGTGCTTGATGCTCAGTGGACGATGGACAACACCAGGGATGAGTCTTACCTGCGCAAGGTCATCTCTCCTCTGGAGACTCTTCTCACTGGCTACAAGCGTATTGTGGTCAAGGACAGTGCTGTAAGTAATCCTTTGCAACCCCTCTCTAGACCCCTCACGGTCGATGCGGCTTTGTGGACAATGTCTCAGTCGTTGACACATGAATCGCCGTTGCATCTGATATTGACGTACTTCACAGGTCAACGCTGTCTGCTACGGTGCTAAGCTTATGCTTCCCGGTCTTCTGAGATACGGTGAGTTGTCAACCCCACGATGCCACATATGATTGACATGCTGATCCGTTTTTAAGAGTCCGAAATTGAGGTTCACGACGAGGTTGTTCTCATGACCACCAAGGGTGAGGCCATCGCTCTCGGCATTGCCCAAATGTCCACCGTCGAGATGTCGACATGCGGTATGATTCACTTGCTCATTGCAACCCAATGACTTCGACTAATGGAATACAGATCACGGTGTTGTTGCCAAGGTCAAGAGATGCATCATGGAGCGCGACCTGTACCCCAGAAGATGGGGTCTCGGTCCCCTCGCCTCGGAGAAGAAGAAGATGAAGGCCGATGGCAAGCTCGACAAGTACGGCCGCCCCAACGAGGCCACTCCCGCCAAGTGGGTATCCGAGTATAAGGATTTTGGTGCTCCTGCTGGTGAGGCTGCGGCTGCATCGGCGGCTCCAGCCACTCCCCAAAAGGCGGTGGAGACGACGACGGCAACTCCCAGCGTCGCAGTCACCCCTGCCAACGCCGAGGATGATGGCGAATCCAAGAAACGCAAGAAGCACGAGGGCGAGACACCTGACGAGAAGGCGGAGCGCAAGCGTCGGAAGGCTGAGAAGAAGGCGGCCAAGGCCGCGAAGAAGGCAGCCAAGGGTGAAGCTGACGACGATGACGACAGCGAATAAGCTCCTGCGAGCTTCCTCACCTCGATTGGCTAGATACCATGTGTTTGTTGGCAATGGTCGGTGGTTGGCTGTTGTATCATAAAAAAATGGCTTTGGCAAGTGGCGTTTGGCTCTGAATTTTCTCTGAACATAGTGCGGACTGGCTGGATAGGAGTAGATAGGTCCTATACGGAAAGAAAAAGCGACGACTACTACTGTCGCATCAGTTCACGTTTGAACCAGGCTGTTTCGACGTTATCGCAAACATTTCAGGAGCCGTTGAAGCACACGCAAAATGCTGGGTAGGGACTGACGTACTACCGGCAGCATCCCAGCGGGATTTCAGACTGCAGCACAGTCGGGACCCGGGCCAACGTGGATCTCGTCCGAACGAGTTTTGTTTGGAATCTCAGTCATAAGCAGCACCGATATACCTACATGTTCCGTCCTTCGTCCGAAGACAGGTTCCTTACCCATGAAAAAAAAGGTCAGGGAAGCATTGTCACCAAGCGTGTCTCAAGCCACATGCCTTGGCCAACCAAGGAAACAGCAGCAACTGCCACTGAACCCTCCTTGATGCCTTGTAGAATTGGGATAATGCAACCAAGAATACCGTGACCGGGTGTAATTACTGCAGGTGCGCACCCTGAGATGGCACTCGTGGCAGCACGTCACCCCCGCCTTTCTTTTCGTGTCTCGCTCCTACCACTCGACGTCTTGGGGTCTCCGAGGCACGTGTATGGACAGTATGGATGCACATCACCTCCCCTTCACAGCCCCTCTCCAGGTTGCAATGAATGCCGGCTGTTGCGCCTCATCCCTCACGCCCTGCTTCGCCTATGCCCGATCGGCGGGGCCGACACCGGCAGTCGAGGATCTCCCCGTCCACCAATCCCCCCGGTCACCGTCCATCGCCTTGGAAGGAGGGCCACCACCGTCATCCCGGTCAGCCAAAGTACATTTCTGTGGACCGTGGACTGTGGTCTGAACCCAACCTTAACATCGTAGAGCCTCCGGCCCATGACGCCGGAACCAGGGTCAACTCTAACTAAGGTAGCTTATGTGGCTGCGCTCTCGAGGAAGGCGGAAGACGGATGCCACATCCTATGCATGCACATCCTTTTCTTCGCCGACGTGGGCAAAATCCACGAGAGAGGAAGAGACAACAGAATGAATGGATTTCTTGGGCTGGAGCCTAATAGGATTTTAAATCTGACCCACCCGTCTGACGCGCGCCCAGCCCTGAGAGTGTAAAAAAGACTTTCTAGGCATGGAACGAGGAAGAGAGAATGGACGCCGAGAGAGGTTCTAGCTTCGGGTATCCGGTCGAGGAGCGCAAGTGTGAGAAGCTGCCACGTACTTCGAACCCCCCCCCCCCCCCCCCCCCCCCCCCCCCCCCCCCCCCCCCCCCCCCCCCCCCCCCCCCCCCCCCCCCCCCCCCCCCCCCCCCCCCCCCCCCCCCCCCCCCCCCCCCCCCCCCCCCCCCCCCACCCCCCCCCCCCCCCCCCCCCCCCCCCCCCCCCCCCCCCCCCCCCCCCCCCCCCCCCCCCCCCCCCCCCCCCCCCCCCCCCCCCGCCCCCCCCCCGCCCCGCCCCCCCCCCCACCCCCCTCTCGGACACTGTAGCCAATCCACACCGACCGGCAACACAAGCCACGAGGGCCAACCCACGTGCCGTCCACCCCCACGCGAGTGCCCCCCCTGACGCGGCCGAACGCATCAAGGCCAAGCTCACCGAGGCCTCGCGCGGCTACCCAAAGGACCGCGAGACCGTCAGCTGGTTCGTCATGCCG